CGAGCTGTACTGGTTGGCCAAGACTTGGCTCGAGGGAGGACAGATTGAGGTCTGAAACGGTCGAGATTATGGAGAATACGGTAGGTTGATGCTGGGCATCTTAGCATTTGTGTAATCTCTTCTTCGTTTATCAAGGCCTTTAATGTTAGTCGATGTCAAAGCTCTAATCAAAGAGTCACTGTCACCGAAATCATGTGTTCCCACCTTTTTACTTCTTTGTGACTGCCCAGAGCTCAGTCTAAAGGCGAAGTGACACTGGAGGGGCTCGCCACCGAATGCACAAGCTTGTCGGGGCCTTTGGCCTTTACCTCCGTTGTGATCAGAGACGTTTTCGGCCAAAGAATATGGTTTATTGCTACTAAACTATTGTATTGAGCTGCTGGTGACACACGGGAGTACAGGAATGGAGATAAACGAACTGATTGGCTATAGGGCTAACTCCTGGTATGAGCCGCCTGGAAGGAACATTGATATGTTTCTGTTGAAACGTGATCTGCCAACACAACAAGTCTGCCCAGCATAGCTCATGCAAACCTACCACGTTTCAACGCTGACAGTTTCCAGCCCTCAGTTTCTCGCCAACAAATCTAAACCCCCAGTTCAAGCCTTGTCTTGAGGCTTTTCGCTGACAATGTTTGATTCGATATGTTCAGTGCGACTTACATTTTTGCTATTATCTTCCGGACCTTGGTCAAGACCTCTAGCAATATCATGCTCGACCGGGGCATCTACGTGCATGTTGAAGCTGTGGCGAGGATCGCGGACAAAAAGCGCAAGTATTAAACCAACCGCCGAGACTGCTGCTGCAGCACTCCAGGTGCCTCGGAAGGCGATGTGATAAGCTGACCTCAATCCAGCAACTCCCGCGGAGATGACTTGAGGAGTAACACCTCGAATAGCTGACAGAGCTCGTTGGTCATTGTTAGCCAGAGCACTGATAAAAGCTGGTAAATCCTTGGCAGAGAGCCCAAGAGGAACAACGCGTTCAGCGATCTTTTGGCCAAGATGCTTCGACAAGGAGGAGTTGAGGATAGCAGTGTATACTGGGAGTGCAACGGAGCCTCCCAAGGATCTTGAGGTCAGGATTAGGCCACTCGTTGTAGCAATCAAGCCTGGAGGAGTGCTTATCTGGCCAGTCGTGACGGCGATGACGAGACCGAACCCAAGGCCAAAGCCCGCCAAGACCGTATAACCCCACATCGCTGCCAGGTGACTGGGCTTTAGAGTAGCCATGCATGCTTAAGGAGAACCGCGGTTAGCAAAAAGGTACCGAGTATAGACGAAGTGAGACCCACCAAAGTAGGTGACAAAGAGTGCCATACCAGCCGTCAGAGGTGGCCGGACCCTTCTCGCCTTGGTGGAGTAGAGACCACCGATCACAGATGCTATAGCCCCTCCAATGAAAATAAGGGACATCATAGCACCAACCTTGAGAAGGTCACGATCGAAGTAAATCGAGTACACCAGAGGGAGAAAGTTGTTGGCCGCATAGAAAGCAAATCCCTCGATGAAAATAAAGACAAGGGCAAGTGCAAAGTTGCGGCTTGCTTGGAAAAGAGCGTGATGGCAAAATCCATCCTTCTTGTTGACTTCCCAAACCGCCGTGAGGATGATAAAGACAACGCCAATGCAAAAGGTGCTTAGAACTGGGGCACTTTGCCAAGAGTATGGGTTGTTGGCCCAAGTCAATCCGACGCTGAACAATATCATTCCGATAGAGAAAATGATATATCCTACCAAGTCGAGAGCCTTGACCTTCTCCTTCCAGGTCAGAGATGACTCAAGGCGGCGTTTCGGTGGTTTGAAGAAGAAAAGCACGGCAAGAAAGTTAAAGGCGAATAGCCCGATGCCAACATACCAAACAACCCGAAAGTTCTCATCGTTCTTCCTGACGAGTCCGAAGCCAAGTAGTAATGTAAATATCCCACCAAGTGAATTAGCGATATTGACACCCGCTTGGGCAAGTGGTCTATACTGCCGTGGCATAATCTCGGATGCGACCGCATATAAGAGTGAAGTTGTTCCCGCTCCAACACCGACTACCAACGATCCAGCAATGGCCATGGTCATGGAAGATGCTCGGCTGATGACGATGGATCCGACGATGCAGAGACCAGTGCAGAGCAGGATAGGTAACCTACGGCCCCAGAAATCCGACGACTGCGCAATAGGAGCTGCTGTGAACGTGCTGCAAATGATAAGGCCTTGAGGGATCCAGATGTATTTGTCATGTCCCCCCAGAACGCTGGCCATGTTTCTGGCAAACTTGATCGTTATCAGTACTGTACAATACTGGCTGACCAAGCAAAAGACTCACTGCGCCGGTTGCAACAATTGCAAGGACTTGTGCAAAACAGCCACTGAGGATAGACTGGACTGTTAGCTTGACCAGCAGATGGATCACTACGGGAGGTCTTACCAAGTAAACCAGGATACATTTCAAACTGAGACCTTGGTAGTTATCCTCCTCGTCAACGGCGAGCAGTTCAGTCTCAACCGAACTGGGCACCTCATCGTGGAGGTTCCTCTTTGCTTGTCCCGACATGCTTTCAGTAAGGTGATGCCAGATATTTTGGCTTCAGCATATACAAGCTGTAATCACCACATTAGATTCATCGATTTCCATGTCAAGATATGGAGGATGTATTAATAGTCTGGGGTAACTGAGCAGATCAGTGGAGTTCGGATCCTGTGCTTAGTCTCCCCGTGGCTGCGCTAAGGGTGGGACAACGCGGGGAAGTCATCCCCACCCTATAATAACTTGTACCAGACATTGATCACAAGTACAATTAGCTATATACCTTAGGTACTCAATACCAGAACACTTACATAGTTAGGTGGAGAACACGTTGCAACTTCATTGAATAACTAAGATAAATTCTTCTATCGTCCTCCCCACCCAACGAGTTCCTCATGGCACCTCTCCCATCCGTCAAAATACGGAAACCTATAGTCGCCTCCAAGTTTCGACTTGGCTGATCTGGCAAGATACTCGAGAATCATGTTTCCCCATAGCCAACTCAACGCACCCTCACCAGGGTGTGTGCCATCTTCATACCAGTTTCCCATAAGACTAATGATGCGACCCCATTCGAAGACCTCATGTCCATACTGCTCCGCCAAAGCGCGTCCAAGACGGTCCATCTCAACTACCATGATATCCCCTGATCCAGTCTTTTGGTGATACGTTAGACTTCTCCACATCATAGGCGTGTCTGGAAACTCTCTGATGAGCATCTCGGCATACTTCTTGGTGCGAGCCAAGAAGAAGTGCAATTCGTCCCAGACCATTTTCCTGTGTCTTGCATTGAGAGTGACGTTCTGTCCTTCGTGGAGCTTCTGTCCGCCAACTTGGAATCCTCTCTGATCCCAAAGCCCATTCTGCCACAGTATCAGATCAGGTCTGCCGTTAGGACCACGGATATCTCGCTCATGTGGTTGCCAGAGTTCTTCCCAGCGTCGCTCAAAGGGGATGATTCGCATTTGCTTATACCAGAACCATTCAGGCCTGTAGGTGAAGCCACCCGCTGAGTGAAAGGCAGTGAAAGTCAGGTTGAATGCCGGGATGTGGCAGACACCCATAGGCCACTGCTCTATCTCGTGGAGCTTGGGGAAGACCATGTCGTGACCGAACTCGTGGCAGACATACCGAGCTGCTCGCCTGTCGACAGAGTCGCCGAATGATACGACTCGACGGCCCCAGAGCCAGCCAAACTCTGCATCGTTTCTCATTCTGTGATAGTCGTCTGCTGTTGCGTTTGTGATATGTGCCATCGCTTCCTGTCGACGCTCATTCTCCTTTACCGCTAGCTTCATCCATTCTATAGGTATATCCGATCCTTTGAAGAATGTCCGCGGGACGTCTGTATCGTTGAAGATGAGATCTCCTCCTGTGTGAGGATACTCTGCAGTTTCGGGATCCTCAGAATTGAGAAACTTGTCTGTAAACGGCAACCATCGTGTCTCTCGGTATCTCTCTGTTTCTGCTGGGACATAGAGATACCCGGGGCGGCGGTAGGGGTCTTTGCAGTTGCCAAACTTTCCCTCTTTGGGATCTGCGTCCGCTGTAGTTTGTGGAGCTGCGGAACTGTTTGTCACGAGTGGTTAATAACATCCGGGGCCATGTGTTCATCTTGGTACTTACTCGCTGCAGAACTCTGCTGCCTTTGCATGGGCGTAGTCTAAAGGCGACTTGATCGAGTCGGTGTAAAATGCAAAGAGAAGAAAGAATAGAAAGACAATACCTGTCGATAGAAACCACAGCTTGTATGCTGGACCCGCAGTAGCCACAGCCATTATGACGGAGGATGTGTTCTTACGAGAGCAACAGACGGACAAGCCTCTATATGATGAGGAGAGGGCATGGCTTCAAATAGCCGAATGATTCAACGCAAGGGATGAAACAACCTTCTTTTTAGAGCCAGGTCCTGGAATGGAGATAAGCAGGGCTGAGCCATTATATCCAGCCACCAACGCCACTAGACCGATATCATAATCGAAAAGAAACCTTTGTCTTTGCATTGATAATTATACTGGACGAACAAAAGATGAGAAATGCGCCACCAGTATTCGCCTGAAACATTCAATTTACCCCTTGAGAAACGTTGTCGCTTGTGATCTGCGGCCCCTTGCAGCCCGTTTCGACCCTGACATTAAGGGCTCACGCTAATTGGTTGAGCTGGGAATGTATGCCCCTTGTGGCTTACCAGCACGAGAATTGATAACCCCTCTAGGGGGGGAAAGAAAAAACAGGACCTCGATCCTAAATGACAAAAATAGTTAGGTAATTTAGTATAAGTTTAGGATATCTTTACTAGAACTTAGGATGACTTTTGCTAAGTTTATTTTGACACCTTAGACTAACATTTGCTGTTTTCTTTGCCTCCAAGACCCCTCGTCAAGATGGTTAATAAGCGTTTAATTTCGACACTGCAATTGAAATACAATATTTCTATCCAGATAAGACATATAAATACCTCTACCAACAATCGTCGTCGAGGCTATCTACTTCCGTGATACACATACGCGACCCAAGGAGCAGGCCTTTCATTTTCGTCCTCCTCCAGCGGCACGATATCCCTTGCCGATCTCCTGACGCTCAACCCATCTCCTAAGCCAGTCTCGCCACCTTCCACGTTTCTAATCGAATTATCAAGATCCCTTTTGACCGCCCGCATACGCGCATCCGCCACCCAATTGTCACGAATCTTCCGAACAGCCTTATGTAGTCCCCGGCAGACAGATCCATCATCCATACTAGAGTCCTTCAGCTCCTGGTAGACTGTTTCTGCAACATCGACGCAGGCCTCATCACCGACTTCCCAGAGCGTTCCGACCACATGCCTAAAGCCAGCTAGTCTGCATGCACTGATCAAGTGCAGACTCTCATCTAGCAGGCGTTTGTCTTTGATCTGGCTCGTTCCGCAAGCTGAAAGATATGCCAGAAATGGTGGGCTATCGCGTAGCTTGAGATTCAACAGGTCAGATACTGCCAAGGACTGCGTTTGCCAGTCTTCAAGACGTAGCTGACTCTTCAGTGGGTTGGTGTCGTCTGTCTCGCCGTGGCCGGCAAAGTGGAAGATATCACAGTCCTTCAACTCCGTGAGTACTTCTTGGGTTCGTCTTTCTGGTTCCACTGTACGGAGCTCCATTGACTCACATAGCTCTCGAACAATCGCTAGCTCTTTGGGGGCGTGTGGGAGGCTAGAACTGCCCGGCGTTTTCTGCATCGCAACCAACACCGCCTTAGTGGACGAGTTGCGTTTATCCTTCGCGCCCCCTTCGAGAATAGCGTTCAACGATGAGCTATAAGATGACATGACTCTGTCTATCACAGTGCGGCCAGTTTTGTCTCTGTGATAGCCAGCTGCGTGCAACGGGAAGCGACTCAATGTCCCGGTAGGTATCCAGCATATCTGTGGCCACTCGCCAGAAGGTATCTCTGAATAACCCAGATGTTCCAAAATAGGTCCCGTGATAGTATCCCAGAGCCATTCCAACGTCGCTAGGCTCCCCAAATTTTCATCGCGAAGTCTTCGTTCCAGCTCTTCCTCAGATAGCATAGGCAGGGGCATGGTCTCAATAACATGTTTGATAATGAAAGCATCACAGCGGAAGCTGACATTAATAATCACAATTGGGCCGCTCCTCGTAAATCCTGTGAAGCCCGTATTGTCTGGTTTCAGACGTGTACTAAAGCTCTCCATGAACTCGTCGAGAATTTTACTTGCTTCTAACCTCCTCGTAAGTTCCGCTGTGCCAGAGGTCGGGTCATCGGAAACGGGTCCTGGTAGCTGTACAGGATTCTCAAGGCGCCCTATACTGCTTAAAAGGGTCTCCTTATACGCCGGCTTCAGGTTCGCAAACTTGCGACTGTCAAAGTCAAGACGAAGATCATATAAAAGGTCTGCGGCAACTCCCCGGCCCCTTTCTAGCAGAGTCAGACTAGCCCCTTCTGGTTTCCCGTCCTGAAGTGAGAAGGCAGCAGCGAAAGATGCGAGTCCACTGATTCTAGAGAGAAGGGATTGGGCTTCCGACCATCGCAGGTAACGAGGTGTATAGGCAGGGATGAGTTCGAGTGCGTACTCGGCAATCTTTAAGCCCTTCTCCCAGTTCTCGAGAGTTTTGTACGACTCCATGAGTCTTTGAGCAAGCTCCAAGCTATCTGATGTGTTTGCGACAGGCATGAAGACCCAGAAGTCGCTTTCATCGGCATCTATGGCCTTCAGAAGATCGTCCTCACATTGTGTCACCTGGTACTTGGTCGTGTAGCACAGTCCTAATAGGCCTGCAATATCGACAACCTGGAAGGCTTCTTCCGCTTCAACATCCACAGCCTGCTGTGCGTAGCTAATCGCTTGCTCTATGTCCTTGAGATCTCCGCCGTAATGATTTTTCGTAAGGTAGCAATTTGCCAGATTTTGGAGGACCTGAACGAAGTCTGAGATTTCCGTCTGATTTTTGGTAAGCTCGAGGGCCTTTTCCAAATTAGAAATTGCCAACTTCATATCCTCAGGCGCCTTGGTCAGCTTAAAACGGCCAAGATAGGCACTTCCGAGCCAAGATAATGTGGTATTATCCGTGACAGGGAAGTTGAGATAGAGCTCGATGGCAGCGTCAATGTCTCTGATGTCCCTTGTAATCATGAACCTAGAGCGGTAGGCACTGGCCAGGCCAGGGATAAATTCCTTGTCATTTGGATTTTGATCCTTTGCTTGCTCAAGTAGCTTGACAGATTCTTGCAAATCAGTTTCGTCCTTGAATACGCGGTAAGACGTAAGTTTAGAGCATCCGAGATGACGTAGCCACTTTGCACCTTCGATTTTATTCTCCTCGGCCAGATGGAGACATTCCTGGTGTACTTCCACTGCCATTTTCAAGTCATCCAGCTTGTAATTGTAGAATAGCTTGTCTGAGTATAAATAGCCAAGACGACCGAGAACATCAGGGCGTAGAGGATCTTCCGAAGAAAGATGACTAATGAGTTCTCGGAATCTTGAGATGGCCATATCCAGGTGACGCAGACGATCCTTTTGGTCCTCTTCGCCGCAGTCAGAGGCTATCGTCCTCTTATAGTACTCTTCGTAGCACCTCCCAACGAGGTGCAGCCGGGCGGAATGCGTAATATGGCCATCTTGAATAAATGCGAGGGCCGAATTCGCAGCTTCCACTGCAAGGGAGAGGTAGTTCTCATCGTTTGAATCTTGGTAGTATCTGAAATATTGCCCCGCGACGGCAAACAGACGAGGGTGGCAGTCCAGCTTGTCTGTGAGTAAAGCATGCACACGTCTTTTGTTGGCAAGCGTGAAAGACCCTTTCGTGTTGGTGCCAAGATGAACAGTGTAAGCCCCATCGGGAGAACTTCGAACCCAGTTGAAATACGCATTATCTCTCTTCAATCTTTGTCTGCATCTGCGTGCCTCTTGATGAAGCTCTTCGGCTTGCTCAAGATCGCTTGGAAGACCCTCTCGAAGGTATTTGTGCTGCAAACAGAATGATAGCTGATCCGATGCCAGGTCTCGATTAGCATGATCCGGGAGTGTGTCTCCAAGCGACAGGTTGTAAGCCTTGACCCCGTAATCGATCGCCAGGTTGAGATCAGGAGACCTTCCCGTCTTCATGAATCGTCGGTGAAGGGCCATGCATAGAACTGAAAGATAAAATGGCCTGCCAGGATGATCGTCTGGGGAGAGCTTCACGGCCTTTTCTGCTGACCTGATCATCTCTTCTAGCTCGGAGGCGTCATTTGAAGCTGAAAGACCACATCCTAAGCAGAGTGCAAGGCAGCACAAGTGCCAAGGCAGGTCTGGGCTGTCTGGTGGAACAAGTTCCAGACTCTCTCTGGTATATCCCATTGCTAGATCAATCTCGCCCGTACCCAAGAGCGTCAACCCCATACTACTAAGGTAGCGTGACTTGAGCTCCGGACTGTACATCATGGCTTCTAAGTGTTCATGTAGCTTATTCGAAAGCTGGTATGATTTTTCGATATCGAGGATATATGGAATATACACGCGGTCGCCTCTGAAGCACCAGATGGAGCGGCCATCAACATTCCTCGTTTCTCTTTCCACGTCCATGGCCTCCTGAAGGTGCTCTCGATTGCCTGTCGCGACGTATAGCTCACAAAGAAGCGATGTGAGATTAGCATGAGAAAGATAACGGGTGAACTGGCCAGGCTGTAGATTTTGTCTCTCCAGTTCAATAGCTTCCGCCAGAGCAGAGTGCGTCGGCTTCATCAAGTACCGCTCATGCAGTGCTATTGCAAGTCTATGGCGAATAATGCAGTGATGGTTAGGGTATCTATTCGGGAGGGAGCTTTCAGCAACCCTCGCCAGCTCAACTGCCGAGTCTAGATGGGTAGCTTTGTCGGTTATGCGGTATTTCCAGAGGAGACATTCAACCAATTTGCTCAACGGTTTGGTTGGAGTCTGTGACATAGTATAATCTCTTATCTTTTGTAGAAGATCGATGGTGTCATCAATATTGGGTAATGTCTTACTGACGCGACACTGCTGGTAGGTTACTTCCCCGAAATTATTCAGCGCTAGCGCATAGTCTGGATCATCTGCCTTAGCCATCTCAAAGGTTTTGGTCACGATATTGACGGCTTCAGTGAGGTCGACTGAGTCTCCTGTTCGCTCGTGCTGGAAGGAAAGACAATGCGCTAGTTGTAAGGAGTACCGCGTATGCTCTGCTGAATCTGTCTCTGACTCCTGAAGCAACTGCCTGAAAATGGCTTTTGCTTCCAAAAGTAATGACTGCAGAAAGTCGAACTCGGAGTATAGCTGCATGATGCGGCTGCCCAGACCGCTCCGCAGCGCTCGACTTGGCACCAGTTCAACCATCTGTTCCATAATATTGAACACATCTTTGAGATCGCCATTCATTCCCTTTACTTCGTATCGTTCATAGTGCCGTCGACATAGCTCATGTAGAGAATCCATTCGGCTCGTTCCGAATAGTTTGATACATGCAGGCCACTCGATGGCTTCAGCAAAGTGTGCTTGGTCCGCTGTGGCTCCAGTTCTGTAAACCCAATCACTTGCTAGCACACTAAATAGTGTAGCTTTCGATTTGGGGCCTGGGGTGAAGAGAATCTTGGCCACGGTCGCTGCTGAGGCCATCGAATCATCAAGGTCGGCCAGGTCACCAGTGTGCTGATACCGAGTATACAGCAGCCCACTCCTAAATCTGTGACACCTGACACTGAGCGACTCTAAGCTCCCACGTTCCGAATCTATTGCTTTCTTGGAATCCTTGACGCTCTCATCGATATGTTCCACCATCCCGCTTAAACAATAAAGGAAGTAAAAGGCTTCAGCACGGTACTGCAAGATTGTCTTCCTTCGATCACCTAGAGGCTCCACCAGCATTTCATCACAGAGCTCTATGGCTTCAAATATATCAGACTCGTCCCAGGTAGCTGGAATTCGAGTAAGAAGAGCCTCTATAAGATTCTCTGAGGGGCCAAAGTTGATATCTTCAGAGGCAATTCTGCATATTTCGACAGCTTTATCAACGTCTTCGATTGCTTTGCTCAAAGAATATCGATGAAGAATATTTGAACCAAGGTGATCCAGCCATTCACCCCGAAGGTGAAAGTCGTCGGGGATCAGCTCAAACGCAGCATGTGACTTGTCAATGCCTTCGTCTATGTCCACAAAAGCTGAATCCGGATCTGATTGCTCAAAGGGTTCATCTCTATGACCAAAGTTGAATATGTCAGCTCCCTGCGCAGGAAGTGGATAGATATGCTGTTTTGCGGCTCTGATGGAATATTGCATGTCCCAAATAGCTTTCTTGCGGCGAAACCTCAGACACAGCATGTCTCCCAAGACTAGCAGACACTTGGCATGCTGAAAACCAGTGCTGACGTACTCCAGAGCCTTTCGCTCCAGCTCGATTGCATCATTCAAAGACGTTTCTGTTCCAAATCGTAGATAGTGCTGCAAAATGAGTCTCGAGAGCTCACAAAACATTATTCTATCTTGAAGATGTGTCGGTGTCGAGGCGAGAGCGTTTCTTCCTGATTCGATCTCTTTGTCAAGCCAGTCGTCGGTCGTGGCGGGGTCGAACCAGTCCACGGCTTGGCTATGTGTGTCATCTGGGGCAAGATTCACAGTAGGGCGATATTTGAAGAATGAATCTTGAGCCCTCTCTTGAGTTTCCATTCCATCAATCTGGACCAACTGGCAGTTGTTGCCTAATCGCAGCTCACGCAGGTGAGATGCGGGGTAGTTTTATATTGAGGAAGGGGCTGAATGAAGAAAGGTTTAATGGTTTTCGCAGAACTGAGGTGATATAGACGAGATATTTGCTCTTCCCCCTCAAGATGAATGTGTAACGCGGTTGAGATGTTGGGTTGAAATTTGTCGCCTAATCACCGCTGTCCGTGTCCAACTGCCCTAAGGAGAAGGGCACACGTGCCGATTGCTTACATCTTAGATAGAAATTCATTATTATCTAATACTTCTAGTGACCATAATTAACAGATAGTTACTTAGACACGTCTACCTATCTCGCGAAGAATTAGACCTGATTTAGATTTTTAGAAAATTAATAATTATAGACGTCGGCTTAGGGTAGCTTAGTACTCCGTACACTTCCTGTAATAACGATAACATCTCTTATCAGCAGTGGGCCCACTACGATAAGATAATAATTGATAGATAGATAAGAAACTCGTGAAGTTTGAGCTAAATTTAGAACGTTTGTCCTTCTAACTATTGCAAGTATGATTACAATCGATTCAAGGTCCTAGAATATTATTCGCTTTAATAAAATCCGGGTTTCTCCATGTCTTTTACTAAGCTAGTTCTCTGAGTTTGGGGGTGCAGCGCAAGACATTAAAACAAAATCAACTGGTTACGATATCGACCGGTCTGCCTGTCCTCTCTAGGCGAACTTCTTTGCTAAAGGCTATAGGCCAAACCAGCCAATGCACCTTTCGTATTTACATAAAAAACATCGAACTGCGTTCCAGATAGTTTCTGAACAATAAGTGACCGAGTTTGCCTGCAAAAACCAGGGCCAACCTCTTCAAACACAGGCCAATTGGGCGTCGGCGTCGATGAGACTTTTGTGGGATCCACTGTTGTCCTCCTGAGATCGCCGTATTGTCCGATCCACCAAATGGAGCACTGGTTCGCTGTGGTGGCATAAACCGCAATACCTGTTCCTGCTAAAACTGATTGAGCCACAGTAAGAGGTTGTTGGAAGTTGCGAAATGAGTAGGACTCCTCATACACAAAGGCGATCTCGATGCTGTTTTTTGGTGTCGTCCATAAGACTGCAATCTCCTGTGAATTGCCGCCGACCGTATCACTGACGCTGAACGAACCTATTCCACCGCCAGGCGCTGCATTGCCAGATGATGCGACTGTAATTGGAGACATGAGACCTAAAGTACCTGTAGCGTCGGACCAACTACCACCAACGACCGCGCCCTCCTCAGAAACACAGAATACGTAGGCAGTACTACCAAAGGATAACGTAGTTAGCTGACTATCGGGGCTTGCCGTTCCGGGAGAAAGGGCATTAAAAACATCCTGCCAACCCGAGCTAGCAAGCCATCTGCAGCACCCGATAGCACCTTTGGGATCAACCCAGAAAAGGATTGCCCCAAGATTGTACTGTAGTATGAGACTTGCCATGGAACCCCCGTTGACTGTTGAAGCTGTACTAGCCTTATTGAAGGGGAATACCTCCCCAGGTCCTGTGCCAGGTGGCGCCCATCCTTTGCCACTGTTCACTTGTCCATCAATAGCCCCAGTTTCCGTAATCCACCAAACCTGCTGGTTGGTAGAGTTGACAGATGCGGAAGCCAGGCAAGATCCTGTGCCGGGAATTGTCGATGCACCAGCGAATTGCGTTGTTTCCGGTTGGAACCTTTGAAGAGGGAACTCGGCTGTCTCGATGGCCCCTTGAGAGGTTCCCCACCAGAGCTGCATAGTGTTTGTTCCTTGCACAGAAAGACTTGTAATTGTAGACTCAGGGGAGACAACGGGTGAGTTGTTCAACGAGATAGACGTCATCGAACTAGACTTGGGGATAGAAAATGTGGTATTCACTGGAGTGGCCCATAAGCCGGGCTCAATGGGAGTACATTGGATAATGAACTTTCGGCCTGGCGTGAATAGCTTGTTGGCTTGGGTCATGGTGAAGGTTGTATTGCCAGTCGGGCCAGTCTTCGCGACCATGGTTGTGACAAGAGTCTGTCCTTCAATAGTCAAAGAGACCTGTTGTGCGGTTGCACTCGTGTCCGGAATCCATGTCCAAGTCAATTCAACGGACCCAAGAGAAGTAAAGGTGGCCGTGAGGCCGCTGGTGAAAGGTGATGAGTTGATTGCAGGAATCGGCCAGGGGACACTGGGAGGACTCGATTCCCATGAATTATTGCCGGCAACTAAACCGGCGACGGTGATCTGTCCTCCTTTGGAAGCTGAAGCCAACGACAGTGGTACCTCTATGGTTCCCGTGTTTGAGTTTGCTGGAAACGTGGGGTTGCCATTACCGACCATGGTAGTATCGGTAGATTGGCCTGTAATCAGGTTGACCTCTATACTATCTGGCCTGAGGGATATGCCGCTGGAGTAGGTAATGACCAGATGTAACTGTTGGCTAGCCACGTCGTAATAGGTTGCCGCATCAATCATGGGCGTTGGGATGTCTGTGTTTGGGTTTGGGCTCAGCATTGTGATTACAGAACAGGTAGATAGATCTAGTAAAATAAAAGTATGTTGCGCTTCAGGTGAGCTAAAAGTAGCAGATTGATATTGTGATCAATAAACAATCTCTATCAAAGGCGAAAGTCTGTAAGCTAAGCTTGGAAAGTCAGGAAGTCAAGAGCCACACGACATCGTAATCATTTCACCATTGCTGGATGCGGCAGTGACTTTATAAAGTGTCGACGCCTGCAGCTTGCTTATCTAGTGATATCTTAGTCTGTCGCTCACATGCTCAATATTTCAAGCCATTTAGACATTTATCTGCGGTCTCCTGCATAATCACATAGCTATTGAAACGCTAGTCTAACTATTGAGTTCTCGACTCTTGTTAATGTCTCATACTTACGAATGGCGTAACGGAACACTCCCGATGGGGCGCTAAAGCGTATAAGAGCCAATGAGAATCTGTAAAATTAGAATTTCAGCTACGCCTTCGACGCCGTAACATTCAGCGACCACGGAGCTGTGAGCCAGGTTTCATTGCTCGCCGAGCCCTTGTTTTCAAGGTTGTTGATAGTGTTCTAGTACTCCATACTGAGCAGCAGGCAGTATGCAGAGCATTTCGACTCTAGTAAGAATATTAAGTCGCATGAATTAGATTCATAACCGCATAATGCTACTCTAATTCTTGCCAGAAATTTAATGACTGATACTGTGTTTCTACAAATAGCTAGTAAGTAGGGATATAGTGAAAAGAAGAACATATCATGAAAGCACTATCAGGAAGTCACAGAAACGAATGAGTGTAACTGGAGCTTTATACAGGAGATCCCAACCCCTAGGTCGCATCCTAGAAAATGCAGGTATTGTCGTCAAACATGCGGTATCATCTGCAACCACGAAGGTGTCCAGTAGGCCCCTATCGGAAGTGCTCTAAGACTAATAAAAGATTCAATGACGAGAAACATTCTTGAGAGACTGTATGCGAGAAAAATAAGATGTGCCGGAAATTTGTAAAAAGTGGCCCATGAGTCATGCGTAATAGATTCGTACTTGAGATATCGTTGGGAAAAGCCAAGGCCAAGGACAGATATTAACAGAAATATGGGCATCGAGACGATGATGTCAATGGATGCAATTCTCCAAAGAAGCTTCTCTAGATCAGTGGGGAACAGTATTTGTGCTGTTCCAAGATGGATGCCGCCGTATAGACCCGGGAGAACGAGGAGGAGGACTAGCAGGATGGGGTTATCGACAATAAAGCTAAGAATCTGATCTGGGTCAACCCGGCTCTCTTCTGAGTACTGAAAGTTTCCGGCGGATCGTAAAAAGGCGTTGTGAAAGTTTTGATCCTGGTATCGAGCTCTTTGATGACTGCCACGGAACGGCTGTGGCTCCTGAATTTGCCCGTCGAGATTCTCGATTGCCCGTATAACATGGTTCCATCGTTGAATATCCTCGGGATACAGATCCACGGTCGGGGGAACTGGCTCAGCCTCAACCCATTCGGTGATCCAAATGCTGTCTGGAATGTCCCAAGGATCATCGTATCTATGTTCATCGTACCACGAGGGCAGAACCTTTCGCTGAATAGTCTCCGTCTCCCAGCTAGAGGATCTGGCAACAAGCCCAAGACCAGAAGGGAGGACCTCGCCTGTTTTCAACATAATACGATTTCCATCATCTTCGACCCAATTTACTTCTTGAGCTGAGCCTTCTTCGTCTTTGAGATACTTGCGTCGAGACGTATCTGTAGAGTGCACCCAGACCAGCGCAGCTTGCTCTTGGATATCATTGTCTTCATCGGCTGATGGTTTGGCATACAAAATGAACTCATCGCTTTTATTCCAGTGAAACTGTTCTTGAACCATGAGAGCAGTAATATCCTCAAATTTGGTCGTGTCGACCCAATCTGGATCCAATAAGTCTTTTGGCTTCTAGTTAGAAACAGTTAGTATAGAACTCCCGCGTAAGATAAGTGAGAGCCGACCTTGATCCAGAACATAAACATTACGACAGCGCATATAACATGTACCATTGTATGTATCTCCAAGAGCGAGATCGGGAGTCCATATCCCAATCGGAAAATACACTGAGTCGCCATCCAAATGACCTGCGTCATGACAAGCACCTTTTGCAGTGTATCTGCTTTGCTTTTGTCGTTGATCTTGGATCGTTCAATGGGTAGAAAGTGGCCCATTCTTGCAAGTTGGAGGACGCCGTTGACTGATAGCCGTAATGTGCCAGATTGCAGTGTTCCTCGAGCTGCCCAATGTCCTGTGAAGTGCTCAAACTTGCTGACGTCGACCTCGAGGCCACCCATTATTACGAAAAAGCCATATTTTATGTCAAAACACGGAACCTAGGTTAGTTTATTAGCCATCAACTAGAAGGATCATATGAATTCGGTACACTGACCTTGCTGCCATTTTGTTGTTGTGATTCGCCCAATAGAGTGCTGTCGGTTTCAGACTGGTGTTGCTGCCGCCATAAAAGTGTCAACTCCTTGGAAAGTCGTCTGGCGTCAAGAAACTGTGATGAAGCAAGATAAAGCACGACTTCTGGAGCCACAAGCCCGATCACTACCCATTTGAATTTTTCCCGAAGCATTGGAAGAGCCTTTGTATCGCCGGGGACGTTAAGATGAAGCGCTGTATATAGGCAAGCGATCAGAGTGATGACACAACTCCAAAGAATGGTCATCGTGCCGCGAATCTCTGGACTTCCGACAAAAGACGGAGCCCGGATAGTGCGTAATGCAGTATCGTTTTGAGCCTTCAGGTGCTTGAAAATCCGGTCTTTCACAAACTCCAAGCCAGGGTCTTCATGCCAAGCGTTATCCATGCTTGAGACTATTTCATGAGATTTGATAACAAAAGCGAAGATGATAGAATACTGTAAAAAGGAAGAAAAAAGACCTGCAGCCTGATTTCGCGACGATCAGGCTCTGTGTTGGCTCTTACACGCTATGCAAGCCACAAATCTATCCCTTACTTCCGCATCTCAGCCCCAAGCCTTGTTGACTATAAATAGTATTGAAGTGCTTGGCATTATGTAACATAGATATTATCATTTGATTCCGTATCTCAACATTTGAGTTAGAACAGGTCGTCGCCAGTGATGCTCATGGCGAGTTAGTTTTGCCTCGAGTTGCGAAGAAATTGTCTTATTTGTAAGCACCCAATATTACTCTATAAATGAAGATTTAGAGCATTACGCGCCGCTTCGAAACTTCAGTAAGCCGCCTTGCTGCCTGGGCCTTTACATGCGGGCGATAACATACCCTTGTAGCCCGATATAGCGGGTGGGCTCAGGTTGGCAGTATTAAAATCTCAATACTTCTGCGTCTACAAGTTGGAAGTATGAGTTAACCGTCTATGGAACATTGTCAATCCATTTTACTGCCTTTGAAATGTCACTAGGCTCGCTCGAGGGCCGTCACAGTTCGGACTAGCCCTGTTTTGCTGATCGCTTATATGCGCAAATGCGCAAAGAACCCCGCTCAGTTGACTGTGTTGATGCCGACGGTTGTTCAGTGGCTGACATGTCTCAGCATAAAGGTATCCTTCTCGCCAACACCTCACGTCGTTTGACTTTGTACCGCATCTGTCAGGGGTTGGAACTTCAACTGGAAGATTCTGCAAACATGTTGATATGCTTTATTTCGACTATCTCGACCAAAGACTTCCAGCTTATAGGAATAAGTGTCATTTCTATTGTCCCATTTAGCGATGCCCATGACCACGATGGTGCTTTGCTTTGCGGCAAGAGACAGCCGGGATTAGGCGTGATGACACGCCAGACGAGTCGCTCAACGATTCTAGAATGCCACATGCCGTAGGCGTATTTGTCCCCGGTAGCATTGGCAAAAACTTGGGCAACTCCAGAAAACGCTGGAAGATTATCTTTCCTGAATGTCAAGTCACAAGATGAGTATATTTCCACAGAATTGCTCCACAAAGCATGGATTTTGTAGCCCATTTGTTTGGAAGTTCCGTAGATTTGGCGATCAGTATCATTTTTAAGGAAATGCCAGGGTGGGCTGAGGTCCGTGGTTCATTGGTGGAAAAGGATTCCCTTTGGGAATCCCTCGCATTTGTTTTCAACAGGGCATTCCAAGAGAATCTAATCTTCTGCAAAATAAACGACTCTTGGAGCAAGCAAGCACTGCTGAAAAACCTAACCCCTACTCTGTAAAGCGCCGCAGTTTAAATATCGGCCCCAGTAACCTTTGTCGAATATCAGAAACGTATCGGTCCTGTGGGTGGTGAATGTGGTTCCAGATTTAAAGAAACCAGGTAAAACACTCTCTCCGTGCCTTATTCGGAACAGATTGTTATGTGAAAAGTCAGTTTGTGCTTATCATACAATCGTATTACTCAGCTTGATTGTGCATTGACCTTTGAGGCCCGAGGAACCACCACCAGTTATGGGAATGACAAATCTGGTTCCTTGTGGACCTGGGCGGGTGTTGATGGTGGAACTAAGGCTTAGGTTCATGCGGAAGAGATATGTTCTTGTGGATCTATCGGACGAATTGCGGCCCGCCGGTTCCATACTTAAGACCGGTCGGACTAACTACGGCCCTGCGATAATACCGTTCAAACCGACTGCAGTTAACGGGCCCCCTTATTTGTTATACCGAAAGGACAGTTAGTTCTTCTAGTAGTTAAGTATCTTACTTCCTAATGTTTACTACCTTTATTACTAACTGGAAAATTAGTATTTATTAAGGTATCTTACTTTTTAGAGTCTTTTATAGTATAATGGCCCTGTATTCTATAACCCCTAAGGATATAAAATAAATAAATAAAATATTGCTATGTAAAAACAACTATATATCAATAAAGGCCATAGCATCCAGACTTAGATAAAATGAATAAGCAACTTTCGGTCTTGTAGTAAATGGGGCATTATATTATACATTCACCGGAAGCTGTGCAGCAAGCGCCTTACACAACCGGACTCTCTCGGGAGAGCGGTCATGACCGAGCCAGCGCGCTGACTAACTCGGCTCGTCTCCTCGTAAGCGTTATTAGATCGTCTTCAGACAGATCTGAAGTTCAATCTCACATAATTTCCTGACCCGAACCCCAACCTATACCGTTGCTTCATAGCAGTGATACCTATCTACTTCCTCAGTCTTGAACATTTCTAGTGTCTTTGATACCAAGCTCATGCTTATAACTTTCTACTTCATAAAAGCCCTAGGCCCTATCCTTTGATCTCTTTGAGCCATGACGTCCCATGCCAGAGCCGCGACCTCTCCCTCTTCTACATCCGAAGGCGATTCCACAAACGAGCCGAAGCGGGACTCTAGCCCTTCTTCTGACATAAACATGGGTGACGACACCGATCTCACTGGACAGGATCCTAGCGACAAAATTGTCAGCTGGAACGGTCCCGACGATCCAGATAACCCTAAGAACTGGCCAAATCGAAGAAAGTGGATGATCACAGTCTCATTGGGCATGCTGACATGGGTCGTGACCTTTGCAAGCAGCATATTCAGCACGGCAACCCGGCCAGCTGCAAAAGAGTTTGGCGTCTCGATGAAAGTCATGACTCTCGGTACAAGCTTGTTTGTCCTGGTATGTTGGCTATCGCTGACAAAAACTTTATGGCTAATCCACCTGTAGGGTTTCGCATTTGGTCCCCTGATATTCGGACCCGTGTCGGAGGTATACGGCCGTAAATACCCACTCTTCGTTGGGTACTTTGTCTTTGCTCTGTTCCAAATCCCTGTGGCAACAGCCGAAAATGTTCAAACAGTCTTTATCTGTCGATTTCTAAGTGGCCTGTTTGGCTCGTCTCCCCTCAGTGTTGTTGGCGGCGCACTCGTCGACCTTTGGCCACCTATCGAGCTTGGTATTGCCATGAGCATTTTTGCCGGCGCAAATTTCGTCGTAAGTGCGATGTATTCGTTGAACATTACTGGCATCGACACTGATTTCAGTGACTGTAGGGTCCTGTTGCCGGTCCTATCATGGGGGGGTTCATCACCCAGAGTTCACTCGGCTGGCGGTGGACGGCGTATATCACGGCTATCATGGCGGCTTTATTTGGGCCTATCACTTTCTTTGTGGTTCCCGAGACGTTAGAGTCTGTACTTCTGACTCGAAAAGCTCGTTCAGTCCGCGTATCAACTCGAGACTGGGCTATGCATGCCGTCGCGGAAGAAAAGCCGGTTGATATCCACGAAATGGCAAACCGAATCCTTATCAGGCCACTCGCCATGCTGGTCCTTGAGCCCGTGATTATCTTAGTCACGCTTTATATGTCATTCGTATACGGCCTCATCTACCTTTGCTTCGAAGCATACCCAGTGTCCTTCCAAGAGCACCGGGGCTGGAACAGTGGTGTGGGATCTCTCCCATTCCTAGCCATAATACTCGGCGTTGTTATTGGAGTCATATTCATCGTCATCTTCTCCAAAATCCGGCTTGCACGCATACTCAAGGCCAAAGGTTATCTGCCACCCGAGCAACGGCTTCTACCGATGATGGTCGGAGGGGCATGTTTTCCAATTGGACTTCTATGGTTCGCATGGACTTCCGACCCTCACATCTTGTGGGTTCCGCAAGCCTTAGCTGGAATTCCGCTGGGAGTGGGTATCATGCTGTAAGTGTCTACGATCGTGCAGGTTTGAAGTGCGACTGCTGACTTTGCTCATAGTATCTTTCTCCAAGGCCAAACCTACATCATAGACAATTATCGAATGAATGCAAATAGTGCCCTCGCTGCCAACGCTGTAGTACGAGCACTGTTTGGCGCAGGATTTCCAATGTTTGCCGCTGCCATGTACAGAAGGCTGGGGGTTGATTGGGCCACCAGCGTTCTAGGCTTCATAGCGGTTGGTCTTTTCCCAGTCCCAATACTCTTTTATTTCTTTGGGGAGAGAATCAGAAAGCTCAGCCGATATGCACCAACTAGCGGTCCCCCATAATAGGCGCATGCTGGGGCAATGGCTATTAATTTTCACTTGATTTCGGACCTTGTCAGTGCATTCCTGGGCCTGGAGAAATTTTGTTTAATTGATCATCTGGCTTGCAAAGGGTTGGCTTTGGGGTTCTTTTATAGAACGGGCAAGGGTTTCAACTCCACAATTATATTAATCATGTCTTCTATCATTAATTGCGGTCTTTCAATCCATTATCACCTAAGTAGCACAGTCTTTGATATATAATAGAAGTGTAGCATTTCCTATAGAGTGGGTATTACAACCCAAGCTGGGTGTCAACAAACAGCACACTCCCGATACTTGGGCTGAAGCAGACGCCGACATGCCGCGATACTATCCTCCTATTGGTGACATCGAGTAGTCATCTGACTTGGTGGGTAAAATCGAACAGAAAGTGATGTGTAACGAGGCTTTGTCTTGTTTGGCAAGAATGGGTATCGAAACCGGTGTTGGTGGAAGTCCTTGTACCTAGACTCACGTGGTTAGTAAGTTCAAAACGATAATTGGTTTTCGCGTGAGCGTTCTTACTTTGTTTATAGTCCTCGAATAAATTCCGACATGCTTCATCCCTGAAGCAAGCTGAATTGCTAACGAACGTGAGAACAGGTCTTTCTCGCCAGCTTGCGCCATTGCATTCAGAATGAAATTGAGATGTTGGTCGTTTTTCAAAGATTTGTTTTCCATGTAGTCTTCTAGAAAGATCAAGGCTGCAAGATATGCCGACAACACCAAAAAATGGTCAGTCATAGCACCCTTGGGGTCATCTGTCGACTTGAGAGCGCTCAGTATTTGCTCTGCTGAAGGTAGAAGCCGAAGCCTGCTATTTGCAAACAAGTCTGCGGCTAGACCGAACTCTCTTATCTTTGCTAATGCCGCTCTGTGTATACATATAACCGAGGTGTGAATGCACACATTCACGATGATGGCATTCCGGTTCTGCCTGTCCTGTGGGAGGCGGAGGTTTTCTGGGAGGTACAAAATCATATTAGATAGGTCACTGTCAATCCCTCGCTGTCGAACCTAGTATGGCCCATCCGCAATGTCTTCGATGCCATCATTTGGGATGGACCGAAATGTGTGCTCCAGAGTTCTGTGGAACGTATGGGCGGTAAGCACCTTGCCAGCGAAAGGAGAATAGAGAGTGCCCCCTTGAAGGGCAGCGGTGAGCCAGGGTGTCGCTTCCTCGGTGCCCATGTCGAATGCATCGTCAGAGGCAGGTAATCGGGTTTCAATCTGTATGCAGACGATACATCAGCCCTTTAATTCCTCAGTTTCCCCAGTCTCATGATCTACTCACATCCTTCTCATTCACTAGAGCGGGCCAACCCGTGATGCCACTCACGAACCGATCAGAACAGAATATCACCCACCATGTTCTCCTCCGCTCTTCAATCTCAAAGGAATTTGCCGGAGGGGGGAGAGGAGGGTCCGTTGGTTGCTTTGGGCTATCGAGGCGATGCAGCCCAAGCATCTGGGCGATCCGAACACTTTTAGAAAGACTGACAGAGGCCCGAGAAAAGAGGAGTTGGTGGGACTCATAGGTAGCGATCAAGCACCAACATTGCGTATGAGCTATGGTGGTAAAGTATTCTCCCTGGCCCTGGCAAAAACGTTATGATTGTCAGTCCCTCATGCGTTTCGGTTCATGCGCTCACCTTCATCTCATCTGCGTCTGCATACCGCCTAGACCGCTCATAGAATGGCATTGCGAGGTGTGCAAACTCCTGACGCGTCGTTGCGGCCAAAGCCCAGACCGCATATTGTAAAGACAGGGGAGGGCGCATATGGGCAGGGTAATGAAGAGATGTTACATAGCGTGCTCGATGTAACATTGGAAGATCCTGGTGTAGTTCCTCGAAAAACAAGTCAGCCCTATGAAACCCGGATCAGCAGGGTCAGGCAAATATAGAAGCAATGAATGACGGCAGGAATAAAGTAGCATAGAGGGCGTTAGGGATCGAAGTCGGAGGCGGTCACGGCTTACAATCGTTCGGTCAAGTGGCTGGGCGGAAGCTGCTCAAACTGACCAAGTCCAATCAATTCATGCATCATGAATGGATCCTCCTGGGACGACACGGCAGTCGGTTGGATCACGGGAATTACATTAGACGGGGCCCCATCGGAAGGTGACTGGTTGATGTTGGTTGCATCCTGGGCCCAGTCCATATCGAGTCCGGCTTCATCGCCAAGGGATATAGGCTCACTCAATACCATGTCTGGCAGTCCGCTCTGCATAAGTATCTCTTCTAGTCGAGCTTCGAGAAAATTGTTAGCTGACAGCAGCTCATGGAAAGAACGCAAAGGTCACCGACCTACTCGGGTCTCCAACGCGGCAGCAGGTTTCGTCTTCCGAACCAGTCGCCTCTGTCGCGAGTTTGGAAACATGCATTTATCTCCGAGTCGCACGCATCGGCTGCAGTTGGGCTTCAATCGATCGCATTTCGCCTTTCGAGCCCTGCACTGGAAGCAAGAGAGCATGGTATTGATCACGCTGAGGCGCTGACTGGTCTGTTCGTCCTCTTGTTCTTCTTCCCGCATTGAGCCTTGGCTACTTCTTCCGGTTGAAGGCATGTACTCATTGCTGTTTGACGACGAGCCTGCCCTTAAGGGGATCTCGTGGGCCATATCGGCTGCTCAGCGAGGCAGTCGAGCTGCGACACACACAATGGCAGTGGAGTATAAAGTAAGTCGGTCAATCCGGGGAGCAAATTGAGGTTCGATATTGGGTATTAAGAAACAATTTGCATTAACGCGATGGGGTTTTTGGTACGACTGTCTGAGGTTATGTATTACTCATGGGTTACAGTTAGGTGGATATCTACCCGCGCGGATGTTACTCAGCGGAAAATAATGTTCCTTGTCTAAGTATAGTAAATAGACAGTATGGAATTTTAGCTATACCTCTTGTGTCTTAGTAAACTGTCTTTCTGTTTAGGCACTTTTAGGCAGGCGGCAGCAACGCCTTAAAACCTCATATGGCGGATCGGCTAACGATGGCAATATTGATATAACAGTGTTCCTGCATTCAGATATCTAAAGAATGAATTAATTACTTTATAGACTTTGTTATGTCACAAGGCTCAAATGAAGGCCATTGGAGTTCGGACATAGCCTGTTTTGCTGATCGCTCAGATGCGCAAAGAACCATGTTAGGGCCCACTCAGTCGGCTGTGCTGATGCTGACAAGGGTCCAGTGGGCTGACATCTTAGGCTTCAACCTCATTCATCTCAGTGACCTTGCGGTATAATAACAAGCAGAAGTCAGACGGACTGTGCAAAGAGACATACAAATTAAATCACCCTTACGCTTTTTACTACCATGACATCGCAAGACTCCCCAGCCAGTTTCGGAGTGCTCGGCATTGAGCCGCCGGTTCTCTCTATTGCTTCATCACCTTATTCCATCGTCTTTGAATGGGCAGCATTATTACCGTTAGTCATTTATCTCTCCAGCAGTCGGCTACCACATAGGCTGGTCGGCCAAGCTGCATTAACTGGTTTTGTGCCCGTTGCACTATTCCCTCGCTTGGGAGTTATCGCAACCATAGCCGATTTCCTTCAACAAGGCCAAGAGTTCTTGGATCGTGCATCTTCTAGCAATGACCTTCGTAGGAAGGTTTGGGACGTCAACTGGGGGAGCATATTCCCTTGCGCCAACGGAGCTGTAGCAGCTATGCTCAGCGCTTACGCACTTCGAAATGTCAATGTTCAGAAGGTACCAGAAGAAGTCGAGGAGATCGCTGGGTCTAAGGGAGGGTATAAGCCTCTAAAGCCCAACAGCCCGTTTCGTCGCTACCAGAAGCTTCACATCCTGCGCTTTTCTGAGACTACGAAAAAGATCAGCCATGCCCGATATCTTTGGTCTGGCCTCCCAACTATCCTTGAAGTTCTCCTCCCCTTGGGGCTTTCCGGGGCCTGCGTTGTATGTTTTCTATGTGGGCTCTATGGAACCGGTGTCGCAATGCTACTTGCTGTTCTCTTACGCATAAGCAGACACCTTATGGTTATCGAGCGACCAGATGGATATCTTAAAAATAATGAGGCTGGTCTCCCGGGCTGTATGTTGGTGGCTCTGAATGAGAATGCCTCGACATGGTATCTGTACATTGGCTCGCGTGGAGTCATCGATACCATGCTTAACAAGACTATGGTCCAGTCCGTCAACTCTCCGCTGGGTATCTGGCATGCTTACGCCCTACGAGCTTTGGAGGCATTGCAAATCCTTGTCATGACCTATGTCGCCGCGCAAAAAGGCTGGGATGGTGTCGCACTCCTATCGCTCGTTGTTGTTTCTTCTATGCTTGACTATATAGCCTACAGTGACGATCGTTTGGCGTCCCGATGGCTTAAGCGAGAAGGTATCAAGGTTGACGCCACAACTCTCCAGTTCAGTGGCCGGACGCCGATGATTGGGACGATCCAGACTTTAGGCAACCAAAGATCAACGGCGTGGATGGATGGGATCATTGCGCCTTCGACTCGCCGTGATGCATGGCTTCAAAGGCTTTCATCTGATGGGAAAGAAGATGCGTTGGAGAATGACGTCAGTCTTGATGATGAAGATTGGATCTATTTGAACGAGAGACTAACTCTTGCGGCACGAGATATGATTCCACCCGATATCAAGGCTGAGTCGAGCTCATAGGGCCAGCTTGGGCTTGTCGGGCTCACTGTTATTACTCACTCTAATTCCATCTCTGCTTGTATGCAACAAATCCACAAAGCCCTGATGTAGATATGTCTCTCGCTCACTACGATACCCTTTGTCTTTTTCGAGAGTTCTCATCACCATCTGAAGACCATATCGGTATATGTCGCTCCCTAACTCTTGCCCATCGGGTAACCGAAACTCTCAACACGTATTCTCTCAATGTTGGGTTGCGCCCTTGAAACTCGGCACTCCTTCGTGGGGGCTTGGGAAGGATGTTCGTAGCGACAGACAAATTATCGACTTTAGTCATGCGGACCAATGGATATGTTGAATCAGATGGGCGAGTTCGATGGACATGACTTGCCAATGCATTGTACATGGCGTTGCCCACGGAGTCATTCATTGGGTCTCCCAGCCGTTCCCATGGCTGTGCACCCCTCCCCAAGGTCCCGACATATGGGAAGCAGCTTTCTGTAAGGCTAATGATCACGTCCGCCTGTAATCTGGTGCCTTCTTCTTCAAGCTCAATGTTAAGGAAGACTACACTGTTTGGCTCAATAGACAGTTCTTTTGTTTTAAATCCGTTAGAAGATGTCCCATTTGTGAGATTGCTGAAAGGCCGGATCCCGCGGTTTGTGAAAGAATGTCCGAAGGTGGCGACATATGTTGCGACAATTTGGATTTGCTCGGGATATTCTATCACGAACATGGCTGATGACGTAGCTGTCTCCAAATAGTTATCGGCGCGGATAAAAAGAGGCTGGCGAAATCGTCCTTCTCCATACCAATCCCTGAGGTCAAGTTGACCTATATCGCAGAGCTCATGAATACGTGATCGATAGTAGACGTCGGCGACAGCGTCGCGGGTGAGATGTATCCCTGTCTCTTTGTTCTCGGTGTCGGAAGCGGAGCCAATTCTGCAATTCAGACGCACAATTACTCCGTCGGGATTGCTTCGCTGTCTCCAATACTTGGAAGTGATTTCCAGACCTCTGTTCGTCATGGAGTACGCATTGCCGTATTGTCCTGCTGTAACTTTCGAAGCATCCCAGAAGTCCTTTACTGAGCGAGCAAGTATCCCGACTCCTGGCTTGGGATCTGGCTGGGAGCTTTTCCAAGCAAAAACGGAGTCGTCGTGGTAGACATGAATAAGCTGACGCTGGAGTCTGTTGAAAGCCTGTCTGCCCCCTTCACCATAGATGAGAGGAAGGCTGATCCCAAAAAGGCCCAACAATGAGTATGACTCGTCTTCTTCCACCGTTGTCTCCCGGCCAGAAGCCCAAGAGAATCTGATCGCGGTAGAGCAAGACGCAAAGTCCGTCGGATTGAAGGCATTCAAGTGGCGTGCTTCAATCTTACTGGCCTTCTCAATCTCAAGAGCCCAGCTTTCTCGAGTACCCATATGGCGCCACTGACTGTCAACAAAAATTAGGTAGTGCGGGGCGAGAAGTTCCTGTAGCGTCCAGCCTCTGGTGAACCATTTAGCACCGATAAAGTCATTCTTACCGGCTGTTCGAAGCCTGTTCGTGCTGGAGTCAAGATCCGTATCGTCAGGGAGAGAGACAAAGTCGACGTCACTCAGATAAGCATAACAGACGCCGGCATTTTGGTACCATCGGAACATGGCATTGATAGCTTCTTGAGTATCAGCTGGATTAGTCTTGTCGATGCAGCAGGTGTCCATCCAAGCCCACTCCCAGCCATCTTTGGAAGCCCGGTCGCAATAATCTTTCAACTTTGCCCAACCCTTCTGCTTGTACACATCATTCTTGATATCTCCTGTTCTGGTCTTCATGTCTTGGTATGTGATTTCATCTTTAGGTGATATCCATGTATGAGACAGAATGGCATAGGAGGGAAATGGAACAGGGACATCGCTGGCTTCGAAGAGCTCGTGGGATTTGGTTTGCAGCAGCCTCATGGAAATACGATTTTGATCGAGTGGTCAAGATTGTTAGGGTACCATACTAGCTAGAAAAGCTAAATAGAGAGGCTTAGGATAATTTAGGCAATTGTAAACTTTGCGCAAATGCGAAGTGTAATTGTTTACTTGTCTTTGAGTGGTTGGGGGTGATGCACAGTTCAGCCGATAAAAGCTCGCCACGAGTGTGTCAAGGTGCATAGTGGCAGGTGATTGGCTTCTTCTCCGCTATTACGGCTCAGCGCCTCCAAACTTCTGTGATTGGCGCCGTGAGTTTGTGAGGCGAGGTTAAAAAAGAAAAATGGCGATCGAGTAGCTAAATAAGGCATTATTGGCTTATTTCACCAAGTTCAGTACCATCGGTGGGTCAAGCCCTTGGAAATAAGGCGGCCGCAGAAGCTTCGAATTAGCTCGCCAAGTTTAGGCGCTACCGAACTTCGTGAAAATACAAAGGTCTCAGCCCTCAGACCCAATGAGTTGAGTTTACTTTAAAATAATCAAATGAAGTCCTATCTTTGAAACTTTACTCTTTGTGCCAGCTTATCTGCGAGAGAAAGACCAAATCTAAAAATAAGAGATACTGGTAGGTATATTAAGTTCGGAAGGTTCAGTTCACAGCAAATTTATGGCAGGGTTCCTTGGGTGATGTGCCTTGGAAAAAACTGAACAAAGGTAATCTCGCCGCTATTGTGAGAGATTTTGTTGGTGACAGTCATGGAGCAGCCAATAGGAGCCATATTGGTTACTACAATGCCTAATTTAGAATTTCTTTCAGGTGCATATATCAGCACTGCTAAGCCGTAATACCGTAGTGAATCTTAACAAATCAAAACTTGCCAAGAGTTAATGAGCTGCAGAGTCGCTTGCCTTTTCTCCATTATTACGGCTCAGCTTCTTCAGTATGGGTGGCCTCAAAAATATCTGTGCAAAAAAAAGAAAAACTGGTATTTGAGTAGCTTAATGGGATATGATTGGCTCATCTATCATCTGTCCTGATTTATAAGCTGCCAGTCACAAACTGCCGAATCAGTTAGGTGTGCTTTAAAATAGCGAGAATAATATATGTCAACAGATGAAAGCATAAATCTACCTTCGTCTTTGTGCAAAACTTTATTCATGAGGATTTCCGTAATAGAAAATCGAATCCTGAAAATATTCGAGGTATGTATTGACCTCATCGGATTTAGTTCGCAGCAGCCTTATGATAGTGCAGTCAGCTGGACCAAGTTGCCAAGGTTGTTAGAACAGTATGCAACTTAGAAAAGTTAAACATCGAGCTCGTTAGACAGCTGGTACAAATGTAATGTGTAATTTTCATATTTGCCAACAGTGCTTTGCATTGTTACGGCTCAGCGCTATAAATTTTGTGAGGCTCTGCGTGACCTAAAAATCAAAAAGGGGCATTCGGGTACCTGAACACGACATGATTGGCCATGGTCTTATGTTACTGATTAGCCAGCTCTCAGGCACAGGTGTCAGCGGCAAACAGCCTAACTAAATTTCATGAGAAGGCTGGCGAGCTTAGAGTTCCCCGGATTAAGCAATTGACAGATCGCATTTCTTAAAGCTATCCAGCACTAAATGAGTGCAAATTCGCGAGACAAAGCTAATTCTTCAATATTCTATCCCTGTTTCTTCTCTTGTTCGAAAGGTAGAATGCATCTCCGGCCGGCCTCAGATTTATGGTGAGTTTTCAGGGTGTCTACCCGGGCAAAGGCCGTTCCGCAGCCCCAAGTGGCCCCACTTCTAAGTACGCCTCGACAAATATGCTGCTTTTCTCGGTGCGTTTCCTCGTGGCGCGTAAGATCGCTCAGTCTAGTGAAGGCTTTTGTACACTGGCCACATCTAAAAGGCCGCTCATCCGTATGGCTCTGCAGATGTGACCTGAGATTGAAACGCTTAGTGTAAACTTTGGGACAATGTGGGCATTTGAACTCTCGTGGTTTGTCCCCTTTTCTCGAGCGATGTTGGCGTTGTACTTCTCGCTCCGGGTCCAATACTGACTCCAACTCTGAGTCCGACTCAGGAAGTGGCTCTCGTTCCGTCAGTGGCGGTGGTGCTTCTTCCAGAGCTCCAGTGGCCTCTTCTGGAACAGTATCATTTCGCGCACTTCGTGCCATATCTTCGTCAGTTGGGAATTCCAGACAGTCACTGGATTCTTCAGGATGAACATCCCTGATGTGTCGGTCCCGCTGTTCTTCTGATGAAAATCCAAATATAGAGCCTCTGCATCCCTCATCTTTACATCGGTAAGGCCGAATGTGTTTGTCCAAGTGTTCGTCTCGTTCATTCTTCGTCCAAAAGCCGAAGGTAAAGAATTGGCAAGTAAGTCGAGGACACTTGAAGATCATGTTGCCGTATCTGCCCTCGATGGTCTTTTGTATTGAAGAGTCTGAACTGGAGGTCACTATATCCTCCAGCGCCTCTCGAACACCAAAAACTAGGCTCCTGAGATCTAGGGCAACCTCTCCGGACTTGACCCCTTCTAAGACTCGCAGCTGCTTTTTCCATGAGGCCACTGATTGCTCGAGTTGGTCGTAGAAGTCTAGAGCTTTGAAGCATTGAAGCCTCTTCTTAGCTCCGCCGGATATCGGAAGCCTGACGGTTGGCTTTTTCCAATGCATTCTGATAAAAGTTTCTAAGGACCCTGAAAGTTCGCCGATTTTGTCTTCGTGGTCGTCAAGGTGTAAGATGCCGGCTTCCAAATGTCGAGTCCAGTTCAAAACAGCATAGTCGAGAAACCCGTAATCTCCATTAAGTATTCTTTCCGCTGTTGGGGGGCACCCAAATGCTGGAAGGTTAAGATAGTCAATGCAATGGCAGGCGAGTTCGAGTTCCTTGGCAACTATATCTATGTAACGCGAGTTGTCAATCAAGAATCTAAGTTATACGCTCATGTATTAGCATCCCTATTGCACAGACCGGCTCTCCTGGATCTTACATTTTCGCTGATAAATGAATCAGTTCAAGGGTTCCGTCCTCTTGTAGTTCTACCAAAGAGCCACAAAGGTCTTTCCCGGATACTGAAAACTGGTGACGCGGAAAGTCAACCAACTGTTGGTCAACGTTGATAGATTTTAGGGACTGTATTTCATGCCATTTTAGCGGCCTCTTTGCACAAACGAGCCACCCAAGCAACTGCAAAGCGCCTGTTTTCGTTGGGTGAGGGGCTTTATGAATTATTCTATCCATAATGCGTTCATATCTGTTAAATAGTCAGACACCAAGTTGATATGAGATGCTATAAACTCACGCCTGATTGATCTCGGGGGGAAACTCTTTCATTTGCTCTTCGACCTCGGCAAGACTTATCTGTGCTATCAAATTGATCCATATCAATTTCGCCAGTAAGAATATGCCTGGCCTGCCTGTTAGCAAATAGGACAAACCAGTTTATTAGGTTTCATACCTTTCACGGACTCAGCAACAGCAACGGCAATCCTACTTGATTCCTCCTCCGAAAAATCAAATTTGTGTCTCAGCTCCTCGGCCTGTACTCTGCTGTAAAGCAGGATGTCTTGATTGTTGTCCTGAGGGTCTATGCTTATCTTGGCAAGCCCTTGCAAGTCCTTGGCTCCAATGCGATCGTCCTGGCTGACAAAAAGGCAGCGAAGGCGATCAGGCGCGTTCTCCGGGAGCGATTCTACTAGGCGCCGGAACCACTGGGTTATGATTTTCCGTTCCTCTCTCTCGCACTCATCCAGACCATCAATGATGATATAGGCGCTTTTACAGCTGGAGAGCAGAAAATTTAACATCTCCTGTATAAGAGGAATTGAAGAAAGAACTGCCTCATTACTGTCACAGTGCTTTCGGTGCAAGTATAATAACAAATTTCTGTCCTGGTTGAGAAGTTGTAAAATGAAACTCCGAGCGATTGCAAGGAAAGTATTGTGCTCTGGTACATTTTGCTTGCAGTAAAAAAATAGCACGCGCGGTTTCGGCGTAAGCTTTTGTACTTCCTCGACTATAAGAGACGCAAGTATTGTCTTTCCTATCGCAATTTCAGTTTTGCTTCTTTGGTGGCAACTCGGGGAATGATTACCTGCGCCGGGCAAGCCGGTAAGCCAAAGTAACGGAGGTATCCGAGCATATTGAAGATCAATCCACCCTTTGAACGTCTCATTATCGAGGAGCCATCTTCCTGTACCTGGATACTCTGCTCGAATTTTGGAAAAGAGATCTTGATCTGCGGCAGGATCTATTGGCCGAAGCCAGTGGCATACGGCCAAACGCTGTGGTCGAAAAGTCTCTTCCTTAAAAGGATCTGGTTGGTAAATCGGCTCTGTATGTGTCTCCTCAAATTCTGTCGTCTGAGACTGACTGGCCTGGTTCTCAATGGCATCTCGATGTCGAACTATCTCTGAGACGATAGAAAGTAGGGCACCCTTAATCGTCTTCCAGTTAATATCAAATAGTCTCTCCCATACTATAATTGTATCGTTAGAATCTCTCAAATGTGACATGGTTGGACTTAAAAACTAACCTAAATTTCGAAAGTATTCCAAGGCAGTTTGATGGAACTTGGTAATTTCTTTGTAAATTAGGACAAGAATTTTCAACTTATGTGACCTGGTACGGAAAAAGCCTTCATACTGCTGGAGAAGAGGGAGTGCCTCTCCGACCTTTTCGTATAAGCCCACAAGCTCATCAAAAGCCTTTTCGCACAGGCTGGATGAATTAGTTATCTGTGTGCTCAAGTCAGCTTGCAGACTCGCAGAGGTAACTGAGAGATTACCTCTAGGAGAGTTCTCATGGGCCCCTGCCATAAGTTAAGTATATATAACAATTGTCTTTTAGAAATAACATACCCAAATGAAGGGCATGATCTCACTGCTTTTGCAGAACAAGCGGACCACCTCGCCATACTGCTTAGCCGCCTCTAGGAAGGGCGCCAGCCGGTTTAGATCCTGTAGTTGACGACCCGCATGCCGTTGGGTTTGTATCTTGGCAATACTGTCTCTCAATTCTTTCAATGTAGTTGTTTTGAAACTTTCTTTATCTCTGTTGCTTTCAATACCTTGCTTAAATTCCCTAAGCACCGTCTCAAACTCAAAGTCAAATAAACCGGGGGTGTTCATTACCACGAAAGTATTTTATGGTAGTCGGAATGCGTCTAAGGAGTGATTGATATTTGATAAGCAACTTGCAGATAATGGGAAGTCGATTAAGCATGGAGAAGGAAAGAGATGCTCAGATGACTGAAATAGAGCGGTAGAAATAAGATTGACTGGGTGGACTGAGCGAAGATGAGCGCAGTTCTAAATATAGATGAGGCTGATTGCTGCGGGGTAAAGATGCCTTCTTTGTGGAGTCGGTCAGCATGTACTTAAGCGCCAGCCAGGGTTGTAATCTTATGTGGGCTTCTTCAGCTGAACTTGGTATCATTTTTTAGTCTCTTGATTATTGACTTTTTCTTCTGTTTATATGCTAGAGATGCAAGAGAATTCGCTAAAACGGCTGCAGATTTCGGAAGAGCATGAACGAAACTCGTTTAGCCCTGTTCCGACGTCGACTACTGAAGAAGAAATATGGGCAAATACTCGGGTGATGAATACATGTTTTGGATGCGTGAGTCTTTGTGCAAGAAAATAGCATGAATAGATCAATAACAGGTTCGTTGTTAAACTATCAGGTCATTGGAGAAGATGCGCAATTAAGCTGCAATCCGTTAGAACACCAATTATCCCTATATCAATCTTCGATGCTCTTCGACGTTGTGCAACAAGGGCAGTACTTCTCTTTGGTACATAACGACTTGATTTTCGCGCGGCTGAGTAAAGGATTGTGCACACTGTTGCTCTCCCTTGTGTCTCAACATCAACTATGCGTCTTAGCATACGTCCCGAGTGAGGCCTCTGTTTTGGAAGCGGATTTTTGGTGCATGCGAGCTGGCTCCAAGCTTCCAATAGAGCTGAATATTTATGGACACCGTGAGGACGCTGACGCTATCGGTCGAACTCTTTCCAAGGCCGGTGCCTATCTTCAATTCCCTCGAAGCGGGCTACAAGGAGTGGAGTACTATAATCCACACTTCTTTCGAATGGAAGGTTACCCGGAGCAAGCATCGATCGAAACTCTGCTTTTATCTCCGCCAGAAGTGGTGGAAGCCAGAGACCAGGCTCCCGACGAAGAGTCTACAGCCGATAATGCAGATGCGGTTGATGAGATCCTTGGTTCGCTATCATACCATAATCTCCGTGATGGCATTCAAGTTGACAGTCGCATCAAAAGTGTGCTTTTCCCGTACGTTCGTTCGTATTGGCTTTTATACCAAGGCGCCAATGTTGACAGAAATTCAGCTACCAAAGGGAAGCAATCGACTTTATCCTCAAACGAGAGACTGGCGATATCCCCTCGGAACTTAGCCTCTGGAAGTATAATAGCACTGATGCGGATGAACCTTTGTGAGAACGAGATGCCCGACTCAACTGCCTTATACTGACAACAATAGTTATCAGCATGTGTTCAGTGGAGCAAAGCGTCCAAGTCAGGAAGAGGCTGAAGGCGGAATCCTGGCAGATGATATGGGATTAGGGAAATCCCTCGTCCTATTGTCAACTATAGCAGGTTCACTAGATCGGGCAAATGCATTTGCTGAATCCAATCAACGGTCTGCAGCGACGCTGATCGTGGTGTCATCAACTCGTAAGTGCTATATGTTACAGAAGAAAGAAAAAAGATCAAAACGGACTCAAACTGATTTGAACCAAGTCTTGATCGACAACTGGGTTGAACAGATTCAAAAGTGAAGCTCCTTGAGGTTAATTATCACGTTCTGGTCGAATTAACAAATTAAAGGCATACTTATCCCGGTGGTCTATCGTGTCACCGACACACTGGTACACAACGGCATAAAGAAGCACATCTACTGTACCATAAGTCTATAGTGTTCACGACATACGCCACATTGGCGGCCGACGCGTCTCGCGGTAGCTTATCCAGAGTCCACTGGTTCAGGATCGTTTTGGATGAAGGTTTGGGAACAACTCGCATGCTACTGTATCTTGTATTCTAACTTACATAACCTTTCTTAGCACACGATATCAGAAACCGCAGAACGAACCAGTTCAAAGCCGTCATCGCGCTTTCGGCAAAGCATCGCTGGTGCCTAACTGGAACACCCATTCAGAACAGTATGGATGATCTTGGAGCTTTAGTATCTTTCCTAAGGGTACCAGTCCTTGAAAATGCTCCGACATTCCACAAGTTCATCACAAGTCCAGCAACGTCCTCCACTTCAAAAGACCGGTTCAAGAATCTACGAACATTACTTGAGACCATATGTTTAAGAAGAACAAGAGATATATTGCCCCTGAGGCCTCCGGTCACGTATGTCCGAGAGGTCTTGCTTACCGCTTCTGAACGACAAGAGTACAACAATCTCATCCAAAAAGGTAAAACACAACTGGATATGATAACTAGCGGGCACAGCAAAAGGAAAGTGAGCTCTGTAGTGCTCCAGTCGATTCTCAAACTACGTCTCTTTTGCAACAACGGCACATCAATCGATAACAAACAATTTGAGGTTACGGGTCTTCCATCCGACCCAGATGAAGCATTGGCATATCTTCAACAACATGACCGCAATATCTGTGCCATTTGCTCTGCTACGATTTACTCTATCGATAGTTCTGAAAAGACGGATGGTGGTAGGTTCATATTTTCCTGTTGTCACTTATTTTGTCGCACTTGCATGCCTCAGTATCGAAAGCGGAAATCACCTTGTCCAGCCTGCCAGCAAGAAGGAGGCGAAGCCGAACTTCCAGGCGTTCAGCCCATGCAAGATGGGCAGGCAAGCATGGGGACAAGCGGACAGACTGGCGATGGTCGTGCTATTGACGAATACCCGTCGAAGTTACTCTGTCTCTTGGACGATATCCGCGAACATAATACACAAAAAAGGTAAGTTATCCGAGTACTTTCATGAGTCGAACAGAATATGCTGAATTTTGCATCTCTCAGCATCGTGTTTTCTTGCTGGAAAAAGACACTTTTCCTCGTCAGCAACCTTCTTTCGCATCATTCCATTAGAAACGGTATAATCCATGGTTCGCGAACGCTCGCTGAACGCACCAAAACCTTGAAGGAGTTTCAGTCGAAAACTGGCCCAACTATTCTACTTATGACGTTGGGGACAGGTGCCGTAGGGTGAGTTTGCGGTTGCGTTTTGATAGTGCGATGTTTTCTTATTTCTCACTCCTTGGCAGATTGAACCTTGCCGTTGCATCACGTATTTACCTCCTGGAGCCGCAATGGAACCCGTCTATCGAGGAGCAGGCGATTGGGAGAGCGCTTCGACTCGGTCAAGAATCTCAAGTCGTTGTTGTCAGATACATCACAGCAAAGACGGTTGAACAGGTCTGGGAGCATGCGTTGCTCGTCTTGCTCTCGCTAACAGTTTGCAGGCTGATGTCGTATTTCGTCAAAGACGAAAATTGCAGTTGGTTGGCGGGGGATTCGGCAAAGGGAAGAACGCATCATCGGAGGCTTCCGTGGAGTCGCTGTTGGTAAGTGAAGCAAAAGATAAACACGAGTAAGGCTATGAATTCTGACACTTTCCTAGCATGTTTTTGACGATGACGGGCATCGACATAGGGTCCAAAGCCTGGCTTTCTTTCGGCATTTTCCTGGGTTGGGTTGTACACAAATTCTTAAGTAGACTGTTTCAGATCAAGCCAGTAGCTTCTCGATAACGAGATTCTAGCTTAGAAAGAATTCCGGATCTCTGTTGTCATTTTATTGCTCCTACAGATGGCCACGAAAATACCCAATTAGGCATGCCCGTTGGCCTCTACGTGACCGCAATGAGAAACAGACGGTGTCCCTCTCTCCTGGTGGAACTAAGTTCGCTCTGCTGATTTAAGCTCTCATCCACAAGTCTCAACTGTAAATAGCACATCTAACTCATAACTTAGAGATAATGCCATAACATCTAAGCAACTGCCACAGCATGAAGCCGATTACTTAAGATACCGTAGGCCAGCTTTTAAAACGCACATTCATGTCGCAAGCCTTATCACTGAGACGTCTACAATCTACAAGTAGGTTATTATATTTCCATCCAGTAATAATGTGGCTGTATACGCTGACGCTGACAGCATGCACTTCTGCCTGTTATTTTACGGGCCCTTGAATGGCTATCCATTAACCCGTGTTGCTTGTTTACTCTGCTTAGAAAAGATACGCATATTCAGCCCAATCCGGGAAATCAGGTTGCATGTGCAATATTTACTTGATACTTCATCTTCCCTACTAACCTTGCTGTTATCATCACTTAGCCGCTAGTACTCTGAGTTCATCTTCGAATGCGGCGTCTACTGCAGGTAGCTATTGGCCAAATTACGAACAGGCATCGAATATCAATTCTCGGAAAGCGTCGGCTCCGTCTTGGATTAGGCGCCAAGCAAGGCGGGCGCATGCATGCCACTTGGCACCTATCCATTGACTGGATGTCAAGAATCGATTGAGGGGAAGCTGAAAAGCTAAGACCTAGAACCCATTCTCTTCTGTCGCTCCAAAAACCTCTAACTATTTTTAGAGTTTTCTGACATCTCATCCACCGTATCCCGACCAAACTGTCAACAGCGAAAGGGATAGGCCTCTAACTCATATGATTCAGAATGTTGGATCCGGTAACAGCCATAGGTCTTGCGTCATCTATTGTTGCCTTCGTTGATTTCAGCGCAAAGCTCGTCAAAGGGTCGATCGAGATCTATCAGGCTAGTGATGGCACCCTAACAGAGAACCGCAACAGTCAGGCGGTCGCGGGCGCAATGGAAAGATTCGCCGCTCGGCTCATTATCCAGCAGTCCTCACAGCTATTCGGCGATGAAAAGGAACTCGTTGATCTCGCGGAAAACTGCCATATTGTCTGTATGGAACTACTCGATTTGTTGGGGCGAATCAAGCCGAAGGATTTGTCTTCCAAAAAGCAGAGCCTTTGGGCAGCATTGAAGAACAGATTTCATGAGGGCGAGCGGAAAGAGCTTGAAAACAGACTCGATACTTGTCGCCGCCAGCTGGAGCTTCACATGAGCTTCAAAACCATGATCTCCGTTGACAAGCTTTCTCAGTACGTTGCAGAATATAGCGAGAGTCTAAATCCACTAAAGGCTACGGTATCGGAGCTATCAGCGATTAGCATTGATACCCATGAGTCAATCCGTCAGTTATTGAACACACAAAAAGCAGTGCTCCATGCTAGTATTACCAAGCAAATTTTGAAAAGCCTAAAGCACGACGATATGGATAAAAGGCATGGCATGATAGAAGACGCTCATGAGAAGACGTTTCAGTGGATTTTTGATATCGACGGAGCCGCTCGGAATGACCAGGCAGGGTCTGTTTCTCCAGCTCCGGACGATTGGGATAGCGTTGACACACTTGGTTCTAATGATTCAGATGCTTCTGTAAGTTCTTTCCGAAGGCAAGAGCGAGCCAGAAGAAGAAAATGGAAAAGAGACACGGAAATCGAGAAGACAAATGAGGAAATACAGATGCGACAGGAATCACGAGAAAAGTTCCTTACGTGGCTTTCAGCTGGAACAGGAATCTTTCACATATCAGGAAAGATGGGCTGCGGGAAATCGACCCTGATGAAATTCTTAAGTCATCACCCGGGAACACGAACACGATTGGATGAGTGGGCAAGTCAGTGCAATGTTGTATGGTTCTTGAAAGTATAATGCTGACTACATGCAGGTGGAAATCGGCTTGTGTTAGCAAGCTTCTTCTTTTGGCGACCAGGCTCAGGCGATCAAAAATCACTGGACGGTTTATATCGTTCCCTGCTGCACAGTGTGCTCAAACACCATCATGACTTGATACCGAGCATCTTCCCTAGAGCATGGAGAGAAGCGAGAGAAAGATCTTGGGCAACACAGACGGAAGTAACCCTCTCAGGAGATGATATCAGTGAAGCGTTCGACCTTCTCGTTCGTAGCGAGAACATATGCGCCAACTACAGCTTCTGTTTCTTTATGGACGGCTTGGACGAATATCAAATCAGAACACAAGCCGACCATATGGACCTCGTCGAACGGTTACATAGCTGGACTACCGCCTTCCCTTCGAATATTAAGCTTTGTGTTTCAAGCCGAGAGGAGCATCCTTTCATGAACTCGTTTGCAGAAGCCCAAAGGTTACGACTTCACACCCTAACACAATACGATATCAAGGCATATATTCTAGACAGGCTCCCCAGTTCTAAAAGCCCAAGACCCAGGCAGGCATTGGCCAAGTATATTGTCAAAAAGGCTAGCGGTGTCTTCTTTTGGGTAGCACTCGTCGTCAGAAGCATACGTGGTCAGTGGTACTTCGAGCCCAAGCCTGCTAGGCTCCGCAAAATTGTCCGTGAATTTCCGAGCGAATTGAACGACCTTTACCGACATATACTAAAGAAACTCCACAAAAGCGATCGCAAAATGGCATATCAGACACTCGCTATGCTCCCCTTTGTGACTGGTAGGCAAAGTTGCATTTATCTGGACTTACTGGCGTACTCTTTCCTTGATGAATACGACCTAAACGAAAGGTTTGCCAGGGAAGATAAATTCAAAGCAAAACTATCAGAAGAACAAAAGGAGGAAAGGCGGCAGATCGCCCGGACTATGCTGAGCGACTGGTGTGGGGGACTAGTTGAATTCGACCGCCGGGGGAATATTGGCTACGCCCACCGGTCTGTGGCAGACTTCCTCGAAGATGATGACATCCAACAGCAAATGGCCGCCTCTTTGCATGGTACCCACCCGGTCAGTGTACTTTCGGAGCTTATGCTGGCAAGATGGAAAGTTCAAGGGAGTGACGGTGATTGGCGACGGGGGGGCTCCCCATATAATCTTATGGTGTTACGTGAAGTTCATCATCTCGATCACGAACCATTCGAGTTTCTACGCAATATGAATGACATTTTCGAGCCACATCTAAACAGCATTGATGACTCAACACTTCTCGGTTCCATTGAAATCTGGGTACGGGAATATGCTGGTTATATCGCAATGAGACAGGTCAAGGATGAAATAAATATGCGTAAAGTCGGGGAAAGTGTTTACCTGTCCTTCGCGCCCCTCTTTTTCCCATTCCTCAAGACAAATGACTACGTCTTATGGAGCATTGAAAACGACCCTAAAGCGACAAATACTGCATTCAAGATGGTGCTTCTCTTCTATGCTTCCATCATCAACCCCTCTTATCCAGTTTTAGATATGCTTCTGGAACTGAACATCATCAGCCCCAAAATGTGAACTCATCTCATGCCGGTTATTGGCACATTCTGGTGGAAAGAGACATATATTTCTGGCACAGTTGGTGAGAGCCATTCGATTTGGCAATGCTTCCTTGTTGAAGAGTTTTATACCTGGCTAGACTATGAGAGATATGATGTAAATCATCGTTTTGTTGGTATAGTAGAGCGCTTTCTTCGAATCGGTGCTGACCACCGCTTTGGATTTTCAATCCTGGTCGTTCAGTGGCCAACTGCGGCAGGAATAAAACCCGAAACGGAAGATACCTTTACTTTTGGCGACCCCAGTGAGCCAGAGACCCTCTCTTTCAGGCGTAAATGGCGATATACCGTCAACGATAGGTTGGAAATAGAGAAGAGGTATGCTATCGCTTCTGGTCTTGACTGCACTTTTTCCAAGTTACGAACTTGGCCATGCGAGGCGAATGGGCCTCGTCGCGAGATATCGTTCACAGGGTGGATCAGAGCGATGGGTGATTTTCCAGGCAAAGAGGATGTGCTTCAACTCGTGGAGGAGAGGGCCCACAACTTGCAGCGTGTTCAAAACAATCAAGTCGTCACGGTGGAGAACCAGAGCGTCGACACACTTAAAACGGCAGGCAGAACAGAACGTGATGTAACTATTTATGACGAGCCAACAGTACTCTTGGAGAAAAGGATAACCTTTAATTGGTTATACTTTACTGGTATTATGTTAGGTAAGTGATTCGGAAATAGAAACCAATTTCCTTCTACTTTAAAGAGCTGACTTATTACAAACAGGAGTTGCCTTAATAATCCTAGGTTATATAGGTATATAGTAAGTAACGTAAGTATTATATGAGAATTATTTTTCCTTTATAACTATTCTCTTCTTCTTTTTGCCATCTTTCTGCTCTGAGTCCAACCTGATAGGGTTGATCCGTTCCTTGCCCTTAAATAAGTGCTTGTTTCATGGCAGTGAAGCGTTACCTATAGTTACTGGCTGGATGAGGTGGCTACATAAAGCCCAAACCCTAGCTCTTTTCTTAGCACTTCCAGCTATGCAACCGCTGTGGTGATCAATTTCAGCATCTCTGATATTGTTTTTATTAATTTTTCAAATGGCCACCCATGCACTAACGGAAATGCCCGATTAGGCAAGCCCGGCCACCTCTCCACTACGGCGACTGATAAATGGCCCCCACTTTGTCTTCCGGTGGAACAAATTACTGTAAAGGGAACGAAAGTTAGCTGTCATGGCCGTCAATGGCGTTCTTATGTGAGACTTGGAGAACTTGTTATATAAAGCGTGAGACTCCGAGAGAAATCAAATATACATCACTCAATCATCACCTCTCATCCAAATAAAGTCATCGTTACTGCAATCACCCACTTACAAGGTCATCATGAATTCCAACACCAACCAGATCGCCGTTACTCTGCGACAAATCGCCAAGATGATCGACCACTCTCTTCTGCACCCCACTATGACAGACGCCGAAATTCTCCAAGGCCTTGCCATCGCCAAAAAGTACGGCGTCGCTACAGCCTGCGTCAAACCATATGCAATCTCCATGGCTAAGCAGGAACTCCAGGGCAGTGATGTCTTGGTCTGTCCCGTCATTGGCTTCCCTCATGGAAACAGCAGCACTTCAGTCAAAGTCTTCGAAGCTGATGTCGCCACCGCTGTTGGCGGTAATGAGATCGACATGGTAATCAATATCGGCAAAGCACTCGGCGGTGACTGGAACTATGTCGCTGATGAGATTCGTCAAGTCAACAATGTTGTTGTCAAGCGCGGTGCTATTCTCAAAGTCATCTTTGAAAATGACTACCTGAACGAGGAACACATTGTGCGTCTTTGCAAGATCTGCTCGGATATTGGAGTGGCTTTCGTCAAGACTTCGACTGGCTATGGATTCGTCAAGCAGTCAGATGGCACGTACAATTATAAGGGTGCTACTATTCCTCATCTGAAGCTTATGGTAGAAAACTCTAGCAAAGATGTCCAGGTTAAGGCTGCCGGGGGTGTTCGTACCCTTGACGATTTGCTGCATGTCATGTCGCTGGGTGTTACACGTATTGGCGCTACAGCTACAATGGCGATTATGGAGGAAGCGGCTAAGAGGGGGGTCACGGATGAGCCTACCGAGGTTACGTTCAAACCTATGGCTGATAGCTCTGTCGGAAGATACTGATACTCGTCGGAGAGGGGACAAAATTGCTTGTTGTGAGAGATTTTACAGATAACCAGTTGAAAAATCAACAAGACTTTTCTTGGATTAAAGTTACAAGTTCTATTTATTCTACATGCTATATTCCAGATCCGTCGCTCTCTGCATCTACCTTTTACCGAAATGTGTATCTAGGATAGTTCACTAGAATAGAAGTTGCTACACATGTGGCAGCTATTGCTATAACATTAGTCCGAAGGTTTGGAAAAATATAATTCACTGGTCGAGGGTAGGGGGACAGTGTCTCGGGCAACGCCGGCTCCGGCAAAATTCACTACGGAGTTGCCATAAATAGTTGTCCGGCAAGGAAAAGAGTAATTCCGAATGTTTCATCATCACAACATTCTTCTTCACAACCAAACTATCCAGCAATCGTAATGAAGACCAATCGGCGCAAAGTATCCCGGGCTTGCGAGAGGTGTCGTAAGCAAAAGCTGAAAGTGAATATACCCCTCTAAATGATAGCTGAGTTGACTCAATGCGATAGTGTGATATCGAGCGTCCATGCACCCTATGCTCACGAGCGAATGTTGAATGCATTGCATCGGACAGTTCGAGATGGAGACCCTATAAAAGTACACGGACGCAAATCGCGACAACGACCAAGCCAGTCCGAGCTCAGCTGGGAGCTACTGTTGCTCCGGTTGTAGAATCAGCCTGGAATTCCAGTTCAACCGTGAAGCTAGTTGAAGAGGTAAGCATACAAAAGGCCTAACCCTTCGTTATCTCGCACTAACATGGAAGTAAGGCATTTCAGCAGCATGAAGCTGACTCACCGGAAGGCGTTGAATTCTCCGCTCTAAGATCAGAGACTTGGGCCCAAGAAAAGCCTGCTACCGAAACTGACAACAAGAGTCCCTTCCAAATACCTGTCGCTGAACGTCCCAGAGACAAACAACTACAACAAGCCAATGTTAAGTCCAAGCTGTCGGCTGCCGAGAAGGAACTCATGTCTTTGTTACCCGATCTTGGACCAGCGACTCTCTTGGTCGACAACTATTTTGATCGCATCCACTGGTTCATATTAGTCTTTCACCAAGATGATTTCAGAAGAAAGTTCCAGGATCTCTACAAATACCAAATTTCTCCTTCCGGCTCGAACGCCCCATCGAGAGGTATAGGCTTTCTAGCCGTTCTTCTGGCCGTTTTCGCGACCAGCTTGCATCACAGCGGGGTGCAGGAAAGCAAGCTCAAATCCCATAATATCGATCCCAAAGAACTGAAAGACCGGATATTAGACACCCTTAAATTGAGATTTTTGGATATTGTCTCAAGAGGTTCTCTTGAAGCAGTGCAATTCTGCGTTTTGCTAGCAAGTTATTACTTGTACCACGGTCAACCTGGAATGGCTTGGCCGCTATCGGGTTCTGGGTTGCGAATCGCCCAAGCACTGGCACTTCATCGAAGAGCGACAGCTGGAGATCCTAATGATCAAGCTATCAATCAGCAGATACAAGACCGGAAACGGGCATGGTGGGCTGTCTACGAGATCGACACTTTCTGCTCGATGCTTTATGGATTCCCTCTCGGCTTTTCCGATGACGATTGCAACATCGAAGCTTTGGATCCATATGATAAGTACTCTGGGTCGACTAAGGAGTCTCGCCAGACAATGAGACCATCGTTACTGTTTTATAAATGTGCGATGTCTAGGCTGTCGGCTATTGTCAAGTCCGCATTGGTTGAGCTATATGGCACTAGGCATAGTGACGGAAAGAGAGAGAACAGCCTAAAAAGTCTTTTCGATAAAGTTGCGGTTTTAAAGGAGCGTCTCCAAGAGTGGCATGGAAACCTAGCTCCAAAGCTCAAGTTCGATAGTCATGACTCTCTGTCAGATCTTCAAGTTACGAGAGACCGCGAAAGAACTGGGCAAGAATTTGAAAACCATCTGTTCCGGCTGCAAGCACTTTCCCTGAAGCTGGCATACGAGAACGCGAAAATTCTAATCCATAGGCCACTTCTGTCATTCCGACTGGCCACTTCGACTTCAACAAGCACAGTCAACTCCAATACCGACCCATTTCGGCGGGCGATGCAAGAGTGTAGGGAGGCTGCACTCCATATATCGAAGATCACTTCAACCCCTTACCTCTTAGAAGCATCTGAGACATATGCTGTAGCTGTTGTGTCACTGCACCTCTTGACGGCAGGTGTGACACTCTGTATTTCGATAACCGTCGATCCCTTTGCTTCCAACTCAGCCGAGGCGATATCTGGAATACGACAGCTGATGCAGGTACAGGACCTTCTGAAGGACAGATCAATTGTTGCCGCACAGAGTCTGGACATCACAAAAAGATTGATGGGTCTTGTGACGGCAAAGGCAGGCAACGATAGGCCAGAGACTGAGCCTGTTAGTAGTAAATACGCAGATGTCCCTCCTGGAGAAGGCAGCAAAAATAGCTCTACAGCGCCTGATAGAAGATATTCTGGACAAGGGTCGATTCCAACGACAAACATGGATTTGAACTCACCACCGACGGGGAATAATGGTAGCATAACTGATACACTGAGCCTGAGCTTCGCAGATCAAGATATTACCGTCTGCGCTGACGCGTCTGTGGAGGACACCATTCTAGAGTATGAGCAAGGTGAGCGTCGACTGAGGAAGAACTGCCAAATATTATACACACTAACTACTGCAAACAGCGGCCAGTCGTTTATTTACTGGAGATATCACATATGATCCAGGTGATTCGTTTCTGGACAATCGTTTCTTGGAACAGAACCAAGGCTGGATATGGAGTTGGAACTTTATGGAATAGGTAGGGAGAAAATTCACGTGGTGGTCTCGGATGGTGGGCATTGCAGTTGGGTGTCAAACCGCATTGGCGCCATTGGGCACTGTACAGAGCGTGAAATTAAGAATTCATTCACAGAGCGCGTACACATTTAAGCAAGTGAGAGAAATTTTACGGGATCAGAGGCAAGCACAAGATTGAGTTTTAAGCCAGTGTTTGGGATCAAATAGTCTAAAAAAAGGAAAAAAGACAACGAGATATATCAAAGAACAAGGCCGAGGCCCAAGATGCGATGCCCTCACCAAGAAGTGTCCTACCGCAAGCCACCAACTAATCTAAACTCACTTCGAAACCTCAGGATCCTTTCTAACGGCAAAGGGGTAATCAACGTAACCCTCGACATCGCTGCTGTAAAACGTCTTCCTCTCATAGGGGTTAAGTTCCAAGCCCTCCTTGATTCTATACACCAAGTCCGGGTTCGCCAGGAAGTTTCTACCAAACATGACCATAATCTCCTTGTCAGGATGCTCCTCGTCAACAAGACTTTTGGCTTCTTCTAGTTTATACCCACCGGCAATGAGAAAAGGTCCCTTCCAGATATCATATGCAAAGTCGAGCTTCTCGCTGCCATGTTCTTGATAGTCTTGGCTGCCCGAGATGCGGGACTCGATGAGGTGGATGTAAGCCAAGTTCAAATGGCTTGCCTTGTTGATGATGTCTGTGAACTGAGGGATGGGATCTCTCATGCGCATGCTCTGGAACGTACTCCATGGGCTGAGACGGATGCCAACGCGCTCTGGGCCGATGGCTTGAACAACGCGTTCTAATATCTCAGTGGTGAGACGAGACCTGTTTTCAATGCTGCCGCCGTACTCGTCGTTGCGCCGGTTGCTGACGTCTTGGAGGAATTGGTCGAGCAGGTAGCCATTGGCACCATGGATCTCAACACCATCGAAACCGGCTTTTATAGCATTCTCCGATGCAGTGACGAATGACTGAATCATTTCATGAATCTCGTCCAAGGTCATCGCTCGAGGTTGGGCAGGACTGCCTTCAATCGGGATTGCACTCGGTCCGATAATGTCTATTCCTTCATCTTTCGCAACTTCGACAGTTGCAGCACGACCCATTGCAAACAGTTGTACAAAGATGAAACTGCCCTTGCGGTGCACCTCATCTGTGATGTCTTTCCAGGCGCTGACTTGCTCTTGGTTCCAGATTCCAGGTGTTCTGGCGAAACCTCCACCTGCAGAAGGAGATACGAGAGTGCCCTCGGTTATGATGAGAGTGCCAGGTATCGAAGCGCGTTGACCATAGTACTCTTTCATAAGGGCGTTGGGGACACGGTCAATGCTTGCTCTAAGACGTGTAAGAGGGGCCATGCCAATGCGATGTTGGACTTTGACATTGCCAATCGTCATCGGCTGGAAAAGGCGTGACTGTGACATGGTAATTGTTCTTTGATGAATTTCTGTCGAGGTAGATGATATAAGTCGAAGGCTGTTCGTTGAATACTGTCTGCTGTCAATTCCTTTCATCGGCCGTCCAACTTGCTCACTTTATATCTTGGAAGTTCGGAGTGATGACATACAAACCTGTACAGCGGACCGATCGTGGTTCACTAGCTGACAAATCTGGTAAGCATGTATCCATCCTATAAGCCATGATCGAGTGAAGCGGTGGGCGTGGACCTGTCAAGATATGGAAATGAGGTTGCCCTCGATACAGGAACGAGATACTTCCGAAATGGGAAACAAGATGCTGCCTAAGGCGGCTTAGTTGATCTACAGCAGGGTAAATGTGGATCTTACGGTGGATAATTTCTAAGCATCTACCTACATAACGAATTATGTGTAAAGTGACTTGGTTTTTCTTAGACACTAAACACAGCAGGACTTGATGTTCAGTCCAATATTTGACTAATCGCGAGGTCTTTGAGAAATCGAAGAAAACCGTTTTGGCGTTCTTATCGGGGCTGTTGTAGCTTTGTACTCATCGTGGTGATAGGTCTGATCAATTCAACTGAGCACAGAATGTTTGGCTGCAGTTTCTATGTAAGACTTGTGTAAAGAGAAATGTTCGTGGGATCAGAATTAAGCGTCTTAAGCGCTATATAAAGCTTTCTTTCTTTATGTATAAGATCATGCTTTATTGTTTTTAACGACCCCGAGAAGTTGTATAGCGTTGATAAATGGGTTAGTATAGTGGTGGGGACCAGGAATGTAGTGGGGAAGCATCGTGAGAGACACGAGCAATAACAAAACGCATATAGTGAGGCCAGCAGGGAATTGCGAGCCAGTGACTCACTCGATACATGACAAACGGGATTTAATGGGTGCAAGAGCTGACAGAGTCCAAGCCTGCAACGTGTTTCACGGTCTAGACTATCGTCACTCGGATCTGCAGGCCGTTGTCATTTTCCTCGGCTACTGTAGTCTGGCAGTTGCCCCCAGCATAGGATTCTGGGATGGCGACGTGTTTGGAGAATTCATTGATACCTTTACCAGGAAGCAAATCTTCCTTAAGCTCAAGGCTTCTATTGAGCGCTTCCGGGGATCCTAAACGATGCGAGTGCGAGTGCGAGTGCCAAAACTATCATGAACAAAGCTAGCTCTAGTTATTACCCCAACATTAGCCCCTGACACCCACTGTAGCTTCAACAACTAGCTTGTAAATTCACTAGTAATGTGGAGTTTCCTACACTTGCCGAGGCTAGTCGAATGCCGAACACCCGTGATGTCCGTAGGGGAATGAGAATCAACACGGGTTTGAAGCCGCTTACTAACAAATGAATCCGTCGTGTCAATTAATATCAGAACCCTCCAGTCTCCTAGATAACCAACACTCTGGCTTCGACGTGGTTCTCTCTAACCTTGACTAAAAGACTCATATATATGTAGCTTCCTTCCTTACTCTGCGATCGGGCCAAAAGAAGTTTGGCACTATCCATTTGCTTGTCTCGAATACAGTATTATCACGGCTACACTACCCTCAAGACTCAATGGAGAATAAACCCCACCAGTGCCTTACGCTGGACATGTCCAGATACTCGAAACTTGACACCGCCCAAGCCGGGCATTTGCGCCACTTTCACAACCTTGCTTCTCAGATCGATGGAGAATGGCGCCACATGGGAACTCAGGAGCCTGGACAGGAGTGGCTTGACGCCTACAGGTATCAAATTTCGTCCATGGCATATGGCGCCGGTGTCGCGCACTACCATCGCCTACCTGCACTGAGGAACGTATTCAAGCCTCTCATACGACGCCTTATTCACAAGATGTTGCGACGCGAGGTATGGGGCTACTGGTTCAACACAAGCCTTGCAGGAAACAGAACCAATCCAGATCGCAAGGTGCTGAGGACGCCGTGGGCAGACCCCATCGTTCGGGAAAATATTATGTATAGCGGCCACCTGCTTCTAATGACCAGCTTGTATGCCATGCTCTTCGATGACAATGAGTTCGAACAGCCCGACTCTCTTGTTTTTCATTGGAACCCTCTGTTCTTCGGGCTCGGCGCTGAGACATTCCGTTACGACAACCGAACATTACAAGCCGCGATCCTAGCCGAAATGGAAAAGAATGGGTGGATTGGCGTTTGCTGTGAGCCTAACCTAGTGTTCGTTGTTTGCAATCAATTTCCTGTCAGTGTCCAAGAGATAACTTGCCTCATGAGAATTACCAAGCTAATGTGCTGAGCTAGATGATAGCGATGCGATATAATGACGTGCGGGACGGAACTAATACCTCTGAAACTGTCCTTGAGAAATACAAAAAGGCTTGGGCTGAGAAGAAGATGGTCGCTCCGAACGGCTTATACGTTGATTGGTGGTTTGTAGAGCAAGACAAGACTAAGTCTTCCACTCAGATCGGTTACACAGCGTGGTATGGCTCCTTTTTAATATGCTTATGACTTCACTGTGATGGGTCGCTAACTGAGGCAAAGGGCAAATGCATTCATGAATACATGGAATTCGGATGTGGTCAAGTCTCTGTACGACAAGCAATCACTGGGTTTCATCACAGTGATAGACGGCCAAGTTAGACTCCATGATCCAGTTGTCGCTGGTATTTACCGAGACCTCATGGATGATGCTGACAAAATTTCTCCTCATAACGCTGCCATCCTGGCCCAGGCTCAACGTATGGCGAAATCAGTGGCGCCAATTAAGTTCCCTTATTCTCAACCCACTTTCGGCTACGTTATACAGTGGCTATCGGAAATGGGAAGGACAGTCGAATTGCAGGGTCTTCTTGACTTTGCAGATGCAAAACTGCGACCTACTTGGGAAAACGGAGGGCTGTATTACCCAAGAAACGATGCTCGAGTCGATGATTCCGGTGAATGGGCACACATGGACCGTTTCTCTGGGAATGCTGGTATCGGCTATGCCAGACTCAACGTATCTGACGGGCAAAAGAAAATGTGGGACAGACCATGGACTCGGGATTTCCTGGCCGTTGAGCCATGGATCGACAACCTCGATCTCTCTCAAGGGGTTGATTACCTTCGGGGACTTTGGGACAGCGGTGAGAAGGCTCTGATTGCCACGATGAAGTCGTGGAATGGCGACGAAGTGACTGTTGAGCCCATCGCTCGAAACCTAGAACAAGGGACGTGGGTGGTATACGTCAACGATGAGCCTGTTAAATGCGATGCAGTTGGGCAGCCTGGTAGTTTGAGTGTGACAGTAACAGTCGGCGCTGAGGAGGTTGATGTTGTCTTTCGACGAACTTAACAGGAAGATTCTGGCGTCGGACACAGCCATGAATTAGATGCGTATATCTTAATTGACCATATTCTATCATCTTTCAAGTTATACTCTGAGCAAATATCTTTTCGCTATTTTCTGACTTTAGATCAATATCCTAGCAATTTATTCCCCATCTGCCCAGGACGCCTCCAAGTGCTATTGATGCCTTATATTGCCTTAAATTAAAGGCGGCAAGATATTTTCTTATATTATTTTATTAAACACTTAAATGCTTTAATACCTGTAGTTAGATAACTTAATACTAAATACTGCTATTTTGATTTTTATTATAAAATGATATAAGAGCTAATTATTTTTAAATAAAAAATACATTATCTGAAGCGGTCTAGCTGATCTACAGAAGGGAAATGTGGATCTTGCGGTGGACGATTATTAAGCATCGTGAAGCTTACGGTGAGAGTGAGACGCAACCAAGATATCTGGTCGTCTTGCGCGGATGGCGCCATAATACTTGCCACAAACGCATACTCAGTACGCTGCAAGGACCCAATCTAGGGAAAAAAGAGTATGTTTTGCAGTCAACCACTACAGTTTGTACTGACCATGGTTAGTGGCGCACTTCCAGTTCGTCACTGTACAGGGACCTCCGGATAAGACCAGTGATAAGGCTGCCAAACGCCTCGCTCGATCCCATGCAGTGAAACAGGCGTTACAAAAGAAGCGACAAATGCAACAAGAGTCTATGCAACATTTCGCTGTGAGAACAATAGAAGACGAACGGGAACAAACGAGAAGTATGTGCAAGAGGCAATGCACCAAGCGCACTATCCCATCGCCGGTTTCACTATCAGCCAGCCTGCTTGATCCGTTCCAAAGTCTCGCCGTCGACTCCAAACGGCTACAGATTTTACTGAACGACTGTGAGTCCTCTGAGAAGCCTTTGGGAATCTTGCTAATGAATCCCAGTTAACGCCCGCCAGGCTCCCGAGCCTGTCTTCAGCGTTGAGGATGACTTTCAGAATTTCCAATCGGTGTTTCGATCTGGGCTCGTCGATCCTGCTCTCTTAAACGCCGTCATGCTGTCCTTGGCCTTCACTGCAAATGGCGGAGTCATCAATAAGGAATGTCTTATATACCGAGGTCAAGCGATCCAGCATATTCGTGAAAGAATTAGTATGCCGGACAAAGTCGTGTCGGAGTCAACTATTGGTGCCATACTGTTACTAGTCGGCGTTGAGGTGAGATCCTCGCTCATATGAAAGTATACTCGTACTAACTTACCAGGCACGGCTTGGCACAACTTCACAAGTTCAGCTTCACATGGGGGCAATACAGTACCTCCTCAATGCCTGTGAACCAGTCGTCGTCAATCTCACTCAGGGCATCAAACGCGCCATTTTCTGGTATATATATCTCCATAACCCCAAGGTCTTCTCTCACCCTTTGGCAGGCAGGACTTGAACTCTTCAATCATGGTTGGTACAAAACGCATTGTCGACCATACGACCTTTACCGAGCTCCGATGGGAAAGAGACTCAATAGCTCCAGACTTTTTTGAGCTGCCCTTGGGCTTTCAAATACGTTCCCATCTATTCAGCCAAGAATTCCTGGATATAGTCAGAGATATCCACGCACTCCAGTGCATCAGAAACATTTATCAACGTACTGGCCGTCCAGTCTCAACGGTAAACATCAACAGTCACACAGCGTCCATACAATCTCGTCTTCAGGCTCTGCCAAACACTTGCCCAATATCCAAAGCTTGCCATCTCGCAGCATACATGTGCTCAGTAATGCTGTGCTGCAAAGTCTGGTGCGCTTTAGTTATTCCTGTCAGTCCCTCATGCAACCTCTGGAAGCACTCGCTAACTAGCAAGTCTAATGTTACCGCGCAACTTCTCAAAGAAATTGAAAAAGTTCGTTATGAGCCTGTATGGGACGAGCATACGGACTTGTTGCTTTGGTTGATATGTATCGGCGGAGTATTTGCTCCAGAAGGGCCTGTACGTTCAGGTTACACGGCACTTTTGCGTTCGACGAGTTTCGAAAGACCTAGCCTTCACTCTCCCTGGTCTGATACAAGCGAGATCTTAAACCAATTCATTTGGTCGGACTTGGCTTTCGGGTCTGCTGTTAGGAAATTTCTAGAAGAGAGCTCAATGTGACTTTGACTCGAGCACGTCATGTAAAATAGATTGATTGAAAAGCAAGCTCGCCCTAGTATTGAACCATTCTTCTGGAAAAGATCTTATCCACATCAAAATGGAGCTGGCTCCCAATTGTTAGTTTCTGTACATGTTTTTGGTGCAATCCTTAACAGATTGCTAAGCCATTAACGTTATGAGGGGCCATTTGCTCAACATGACGTCACAGTGCTTCTTTTGACGTCTTTGATATCTCAGCAATCGAATTCTATAAGTCTATTTTATTAACCTCTTCTCGAAGACATCATCAGAATTATTAAACTCATATCAAACCATTTATCTGAACGAATTTCCAAAAATGGCTGCAAAGAGCGTCTTTATGTAAGGTTCTCTCCCCAATGTCACCGTAAGCTGACGCTGACCCCTCGCTTAGTACTGGCACCACCGGTTTCATTGGAGGTGATGCATTCTACGCATTGCATAAAGCGCATCCTGATTGGAAGTATACCATCCTTGTCCGAAGTGAGGATAAGGGAAAGGATGTACAGAAGCAATATCCCGATGTGAAGCTGGCGATTGGATCATTGGATGACTCCAAGGTCATTGAGAAGGCGGCTTCTGAGGCCGACATAGTAGTTCGTGAGTATATACAACTGCAGTGATTTATTTTTCATTGTACTGACAAGCTTAGATACCGCTGATAGTTCTGATCACCAAGGAGCTGCCAAAGCTATCGCTGCTGGTCTGCGATCTACCCACTCGAGCTCAAACCCCGGTTAACGTACATGATAAGCGAGTGTTACAAACAAGCGAGTGTTACAAAAATCTTAACCCTTGAGACAGGAATCGTCATGAGAACACAACAAATCACGCAATCAAGTAAAACTAATCGCTTTCCTCTTCTCCAGACATCGAAACAACTATTTGACACGTTCTCGCATTATGCCCTACCTTGCCGCACGTTCCACAGTTCCTTTCCTTTACTTGCGCCGACCTTCTTTGACT